GGTTCTCATGTAGCATGCTTGTAGTAGAACAAGTCGGTATATATGATGTCGCTTTTAGGACTTCTCATATATGCATCCTATCTAAAACTTTTTATACAAGTTCGTACCATGGTAAAGTTAGCTGGCCCATTACGTAAGGAGAAAGCGTAGAATTTGATTCAAATAAGAGGAAATTTATATAAAGAACTTTTCTTTTGCTCTTTTTTTTTCTTTTACTGAAGTGCTAAATTACGTTGTTGCACTGCTACCCAAAAAATGTTATCCATGTACTCGAAATTATTTAACTTGTAGTTATTGCTCATCAAAATGAGTTATTTGATGTAATTCCCCCAAGAAAATATATAGCATGTCACACATTGTCCTTTAAATCATCATGCTACATTATCTCTTTTTGTATCTGGTCGTTGGTACTTGACATCATCCTTCATTTCATGAAAGAATTAGGTTGGCATCATTATCGATCGGCATGTTTATTAATCTATAATTGTTTATTAAATTCCCCTAAAATTGGAATTGAAACTAGTTTGATTACTAATATGTCTTTGTTCTAAATAAATTATTTTATATTTAAATTACTCCAAAATCAAGAGTTGAATTCATGATTTTGTATGGGGCCTATTTATATATATATTATTAAAATGCAAATGATAGTTTAAACTATAAAAGGGAGGGGAGGTTTCACACACACACTACGGAGGTGCTATAGAAGTTCGAACCTAAGACTACTGGTATGTAAGTCAATGACATTTTCCACTAGGCTAGATCCCGTTGACAAAAACTCGTTTACATTTTCATTCATTTATGTGAAGTAAACACAGAAATCCGTAATCAAAATCAAAATAAGGAGTTGTACAATCTTCCCTTCCTATATTTGCCCTTGTCCTTGTTCTCGCTGAAACTTAAAAGAGTGATTTTTCACAAGATGGGCCCAATTTCAGTTATTAAAACAGGTTCAAGCCCAATCGCCAATCGTTGTAGTCATGGCAAATTGGTCTAACGTCCCAAATTGATCTCTTGACCCATTGGGTGGGTTCAGTTCAGAGTAAGAATTTTTTATATATAAAAAAGTGGAACCCACAGTATCCACCGAGTCCGCCCTCACATGGAATGGAACAAGTGGAGCAACCGCACCTCTGAGGAGGACCCCCTGAAAGTGCAGCACCATATCATGGAATCGTAGGTGGAGTGGAGTTGTTCGTTAAGTTGCTCCTTTTGTAACTCCCCATTGCTGGGTTTCGGATCCCACAAGTGCTTCTTTAGGTGCTGCTTCAACTTTTCTTTTTTGTGATCATAGAAAACCCAAAGTAAATTATATGACAATGTTTAACTCATTTAAAGGAAATAAACTTTAAAGACAGACCTTAATTAAGAACACCCATGTAAAATCGATTGGAAAATATGTGAAGGGGAACAATAGTTGGTGAGTGTAGTGGTGAGCAACAAATTACAAAAGGCTAATGAAGAAAATGAAGGGAAGACTGCCAGGCTAGCTCAACCGAAAGCTTCAATTCAAAGCAAGGGATCGTCAAGGACAAGTGTGGCATGATTAAGACCTTTATGATTTTCAAAGTTGTCAATGACTTGTATAAAAACATCGTGGGAGAGAATGATTTTGCGTAATACTAGGAAGGAAGCTCAAAATGGAAAATAATGATAATAAAAAAACAAGATTTGCAACTTAAGTGATTAAGAGTATTTATGCATGCGCTCGAGATTCTAAGTTCGATTCTTCCCTCTCTTAATATCAATTGTATAAAAATAAAAAAATAACAACACCAACTCATTAAGAAACTCTTTACTAATCCAACTGTCCTAACCATAATTAAGCTGCAATATAGTCTAACAGTCCCACCAAACAATGATCTATATGTAGTGATAAGTTAGTGGATGCTGTGTTTTCATTTTCATGTTAAATTATGGAAGGCAGATCTTAAATCCACTCCAACCTTCCTTATCACAGTTTCCCTTGACCACCAGTTCACCACATTGGACATGGTGCATGGCAACTGGCAAGTCACATGCTAAGCTCTTTCCAGAAGAGCGTTGGCCAATCTTTTTCATGATTAGACTTCATCCCGTATATTATCTTGAAGACTTTTTTTATAAAAAAATCTATAATTTAAACAACTCGCATTAATTAAGAGTGTTGAAGTACTAATCAATTGGTATGTTGACAAAAGAAGTGCTTGCCATGATATAGGCTTCCCTCGTTGATAAGAATTAGAGATATTTTGCAGGAATTTGTAGCTTAAGTGATTAAGAGCATTTATCTCAGTATATAAGGTTTTAGGTTCGATTCTTTCTCCTCTCTCATATCATTGTATAAAAAAAAAAAAAAAAAAAAAAAAAAAAAAAAAAAAAAAAGAAAAATCTAACAAGCAAGGGAGATTCAATCTTAGCTGAGAATTAGTTCTCTCTCTACTGCAACAAGGTCTAGTATAATGGAAAGGGCCTTAACTTATAAACTAGAAGTCTCAAGTTCGAACCTCCATAACATCATAGTTATGTGTGTATGAGAAATTCTCATCTCTTGTAGTTTAGACTATCGCTTGTACTAAAAAAACACACATAAGCGATGGAGATTCAAACTTGAGATTTCTTTCAACTTTAGAGTAACATTAAACAGTTAATAGAACACATAATTCTCCAATTTTATAACCATATATATATATATCATTTAAAACCTGGCAAAGAGAATTTGGACACTACTTGTTATCATAAATAAATGAAAAGTAAGTGTTAAAGTATTGAGAGGAGAAGAACGTAGAACAAAGGAGTTGAGAGAAGGAGATTGTCAAACTTTGTATGTGCAAGCTTAGGGTATTTTTTTTATAACTTTTTCTTAAAGAGAAAATTCTAACTTAAGATCTCTTCTAATATTTTGAAAGAGAAGTAACACTAAATAAATAATTAATTGGTTGTAATCTTATTTGTACGTTATAATCCATACAGAAATCGACAATAAAAATATTAAGGGTTTGTTAATAATAATATATATTGAGGTTAAAGTCGCTTAATGGTTGAAAACTAGTGAAGTGATTGGACTTCTGGCGGCAAGTATAGTTATTTGTTAATTGTCGTCTTTGTCAGATGTGTCGGTGAGGCTTCTCTTTATGTACATTAACATCTCATTTAAATTAGTCCTGTCATATCATATATATCTCGATCAAGTCCATAAATACGTACAATCCTATTACGATACAATAAGAATATTACAAGCACATAGTGGCGGAAAATACTTCCCTTCTTATCATGTAAGTAGGCGTTTTTATATTTCTGCAAATAGCAATGTGATATGTGTACATAAGTTTTTCTTTTTATATTTTTAATAAATTATTTTCGCAAATGTATCAAATTGTAATTCGTAAAAAAGATAAATTTTCCTGACAAGTAAGAAGGGTAACAATATCCCACAGTGACACATAATTGCCATAATATATTTTTTTTTAATCCCAAACTTTCTTCCTTTTGTCTTTATGTTCTTGTTCTGATCAAAGCGATGTCATGCTACCAATTTTTTTTTGTGGTGTCATGGTAAACGTTTAGAATTTAAAATCTAATATGTGCTGTCCAACTAGAGATATAGTTAAATAGAAATTTAGAAGACTGTAGTTTTGACCATAAACACAACACAACAGAAGTTTTGAAGATCAACTTGGGTTATTTTCCCCCTTTAATGGCAGCCATAAATGTGGTTCATAATTCAAGTATGAATTGTGAATTAGATTTACCCTGTCTGTGATTAAATCTGAAAGTGAACTTTCGCATTTATGAATTTTTATTGAAGTATGGACCATAACGATATCGACGTAACAGTTGAACACTATTTGCCCCTCTTTCTCTTGGGCTGAGACTCAAATATAGAATAACAAAACCCAAAAACTCTTGAGATCTAATCTCCCTCCTTTCTTTTTTTGCCTCCTCCCTCCCCTTTCCTTTTAAGGAAGTATCAGAGCGTCTCACTTTGGATCCTTTCATACTAAAGCAGGGATATTTATGGACCACTGTCTGACTTACCCACTTCGTTATTCGATCGAAACTCAAGTAAGCTCTTGCTCCATTTTCCATTTTGCAAAAAGTATTGATCTTTTGCTGGATCTGGGTGAATTTTCATTCTGGGTTTGGTTTATTTGGTGGGTTTGATGCTTACTGATATGAATTTGGTAGTTTTTTTTAGTGCAAGAGTGAAGGGTTGTTGATCAGTTTCTGTTCTGCAAAATGTAATTGGATTTTTGCCCCGGATCTGTGAGTAAACTTCATTGAGTGCTGTCATTGTTTCCCTTTCAATGCAGTGGAGAAACATGGACCAACATCTATTTTCGTTTATATATATATTGCTTATGCTGGATTAATCACTTTCATTGCTCTTTCATTGCTTAGTTGCCAATTTACCAGATACAATTGTACCTGGTTAGCATCAAGTTGCTTTTCCCACTTTATCAATTAATGGTCCATAGGTGTTTCTTGGATGCTTCAACTCTTGTGAGGCAAATTAGCAACTTTACGTTTAATTTTGACATTACCGGGGTGATTAGGAATAGCTGTTATTTGACAATTTTTTGTGTGTGATTCTAATAGATGGTGTTTGAGTGGTAGGATCCAATTTTTTATTCTCTGTGCCCTTAATTATTTAAATATGTTTTGTATGATTACTGGACTGCTTGAGTATTGTATCTTGATTGCCAAGAATGAGCAAGAATATCTTTTCGTTTGTTCTTAACTGGTGCAACAGTATTTTGCACCCTTGTTCGTTGAGCTTTTGAACTGAGTATGCATGCAACAGCAGAACTAGCACCTCTTATTATGTCCTGATGCGCTGCAATTTTTGATGGTGTTGTTTCGTAATGTTTTACAGGTTTATTTTATCTAGTCTAATGGATCTTTAAGAAATTTGTGGCATTGTCTTTCATATAAGAGCTTTGGAAAGGCAACGCTTGGCATTTGCAACAGAGAATTACATAGCAGATATTTTTAGGTAGAAGAACTTCAAAACTACGTAAATGACGAGGGGGAGATCTGATCTGTCTCAAAAGAAGCGTATAATCACATCTCTCTGTGTTTTGGGAATCTTTCTTGGTTTCCTGTATGTATATCATGGATCCATTTTTGGCTCTCAAAGTCATGGTGCATCAGCACTAGAATATGGTAGCAGATCCTGGAGAAAGCTCGGTTCATCTTATTTGGGAGGGGATGAAGATAATGATAGCAAGCAGGATGAATCTTCAACAAAATATGGGCAGGAAGATGGAGAGGAGGATGTCATTATGAAGAGCTTCCCTGTGAGTTCTATATTGCTAAACTTGGAACCCTGTATCTTCTTCCCCCACCGTCCCCCTCTCCCTTCCCCCCCCAAAAAAAATCCTCCAAATGCCCTCTTATCTTCTGATGAAAATATTTGATTTTAACCTGTAAGTTTTGGACTGTTTTGTTTGACATGTAGTGTCCTTGTTTCATTTGTCTACTCATGATTTTTAAAGGTTTGTGATGATCGGCATTCAGAACTTATTCCCTGCTTAGACAGAAATCTTATATACCAAATGAGACTGAAGCTGGACCTGTCTTTGATGGAGCACTATGAGAGACATTGCCCTGCTCCAGAAAGGCGGTACAATTGCTTGATTCCTCCTCCACCGGGGTACAAGGTATTGTTGTGTTAAAGCTTAGTAAAACTGGTGTTTATCTTCTTATTCTTGCAGTTATCTTCTATTCCCAGATTATGTTGATAGTAAACATTCCTGTTGTTAACTTGATCTACAGGTCCCAATCAAATGGCCCCAAAGCAGAGATGAAGTTTGGAAAGTAAACATACCTCATACTCACCTTGCACAAGAGAAATCTGACCAGAACTGGATGGTTGTAAAAGGTGAAAAGATAGTGTTCCCTGGGGGAGGCACACATTTTCACTACGGAGCGGATAAGTATATTGCTTCAATTGCAAATGTAAGATTGCTTCCACTTTGTCTTTTTCAAGAAAAGTATTGGTGGCTGACATTAACCCTTTAAATATATTTGTGAACTTCAACTTTACTTTGGCTGTATGGGATCTTGCGAACTTTTATCTACCCATTTCCTATTGATTGAGTGCTTGTATTTCTATATTTAGAATTTCAGCTCCTTTGGTACATTTTAGACATCTTGTGTTGCATGGATGAAGCAATAATGATTATGTTGTTTTCAACTGGCAGATGCTCAACTTTTCAAAAAACAATTTAAACAATGAAGGAAGGTTACGAACAGTTTTTGATGTTGGTTGTGGAGTTGCAAGTTTTGGAGCCTATTTGCTATCGTCTGATATCATAGCAATGTCCTTGGCACCCAATGATGTGCATCAAAACCAGATCCAATTTGCTTTAGAAAGAGGAATTCCAGCATATCTTGGTGTTCTAGGGACCAAAAGGCTTCCTTACCCAAGCAGATCCTTTGAACTTGCTCACTGTTCCCGTTGTAGAATTGATTGGCTTCAAAGAGATGGGATCCTTCTTCTTGAGCTGGATAGGTTGCTCAGACCAGGAGGCTACTTTGCATACTCATCTCCAGAAGCATATGCACAAGATGAGGAGGATCTTAAAATATGGAGAGAGATGAGTGCCCTTGTGGAACGCATGTGTTGGAGAATAGCTGCAAAGAAGAACCAAACTGTCATTTGGCAAAAACCACTAACAAATGACTGTTATATGGAAAGAGAACCTGGTACTCAACCTCCTCTCTGCCGATCTGATGATGATCCGGATGCAGTATGGGGTGTGCCAATGGAAGCTTGCATCTCAACATACTCTGATCGTGAGTGTTTCCTTCGTATGTTTTATTTTTTACATCAACGGAAACTGGTTTGAAATAAACTTATATTTGGTATCGTTGTGCGATTTAAGGTGATACTGGCATATTTCCAATTATTTGGTTGTTTATATGCCAAAAATAGACAAAATCAACATCGGGAATGACTTGAAGGGCACACAAGGAATGCAGGAATGATCTTCATAGCAATGTTCTTGTATAACTTCTTCAAATAACTATGGTTAGATATCTAGATTCTAGACAACACGAGAACAAAATAATTGAAATTAAGAGTAAATGGGCTGTGTGCCACCTGGGATGGGAAACAGTTTTTTTTAATACTAAATATGTCATCAGTGTTTGAGAAAAATAAAAAACGAAGAAATTGTTATCACTGCACAGTATATTTTTGAACTGTTCTACATTTTATTGTTTTGTCCTGATTTGGTTCTTTTTAATATGATTGTTGTGTGCTCCAGAAATCATGATTGTGATTGTGATCTCAAAACCTCTGAAAATGTTTTTTTAACACTTAACACACACCCGGTCTTCTACTGCTCTCAAATTTGAGGTGCCAAAAAAGATCTGGTCATAACAATTAGCAGTGATATTTTCATTGTCATCATTATTCATGACCTGCTTTGAAGATCTAGTGATTTCTTTTTTTCTTTTTCTTTTTTCGGTTTTCCATATTGTTTTGTAGATTTATGTGAATGTTTTTCTTCCCGTCAATGTAGGTCATTATTTTCTTGTTGACGAATACCTAAACATAAGCAGCATTGGTTTTCAAACTATTTAAAGGAAAAACCATTCATAATTTTATGGGGATGCCTTATCAAGTAGATTTAACCTGACTATGGATCTGTCTGCTAACCAATGTTTTCTCTTGGCATAACCAGATGACCATAGGGAAAAGGGGAGTGGTTTGGCTCCCTGGCCAGCTAGATTGACAGCTCCTCCTCCTCGACTTGCTGATTTTGGCTATTCAAATGAAATGTTTGAAAAGGATACGGTACAATTGCAAGCACTCTGTTTACACATTTTAGATTGTAATTTTGCACTGTTTGCTTTATGGATGTACTACTCAGAAACATGTTAAATGAATTCATTGCTTTGGTATTGCTCTTATTGTGCAGGAACTTTGGCGACACAGAGTTGAGAATTATTGGAATCTCTTGAGTCCAAAGATCGAATCAAACACTCTGAGGAATGTGATGGATATGAAATCAAACATGGGGTCCTTTGCAGCTGCTCTGAAGGACAAGGATGTTTGGGTGATGAATGTTGTCCCTGAAGATGGACCAAATACACTTAAGCTGATATATGACAGAGGCCTTATAGGCTCCGTTCACAGCTGGTATGCAAATCAAGTTACTGAAATATGTAAAGCATGTCATTTGGATGAAACAACTCATTTAATATTATATCCATTTAAGGTCTGTTCCTCCATCATGTTTTTTACACCTCGAGTCATAGAACTTTATAGAACCTTCATGTTAAGTAGGGTTGGGCATATGTTGCCTTTCTAGACTTAGTGAGCAATATAGATCCATTTAGGGTGTTAGAAAATATCTAACTTGGCTTAGTGGCTGCAAGCAGCCAACAGTCTTTGAAACTTTGTCTTGATATGTTCCTAACTCAGTGAACCTATTTCATGTTAATCAGTTACATGATTGATTTACATCTTTTGCTCATTTTTCAAAATCATGCCTTAGAGATTGTTAGGATAAAAAGAAGATTCAGATTGCATTAGGATTTGTTGTATTGTGATTAACTGGAGTGTCTACTTTGACAGGTGTGAAGCCTATTCGACATACCCCCGCACTTATGATTTACTCCATGCTTGGACTGTATTCTCTGACATAGAAAAGAAAGAATGTAGTGCTGAGGATCTGTTGCTTGAGATGGATCGCATACTCCGGCCTACTGGTTTTATAATCATCCGTGACAAACAATCAGTGGTAGATTTCATTAAGAAGTACCTAACGGCATTGCACTGGGAAGCAGTGGCAGTAGCCGACTCCAGTATGGATTCAGACCAGGATGGAGACGACGTTGTGTTTATTATCCAAAAGAAAATATGGCTGACAAGTGAAAGCCTCAGGGATTCGGAATAGGAAAATGCCTCGTCAGTCCCTGTTTCAGTTTCCCATTATTTATCTGCTGCTTCAAGGGATTAAAAGCATGTCCCAAGCAGTGATCTAGTAAGAGTAAATTTTGTAGCATTAAGCGATGTTTACATCATTTCTTTCTTTTTTCTTTTTTCTTTTTTCTTTTTTTCTTTTGTCCTTTTGGGTATTGATTTTATTTATAAAGCAAAGGACTAACTGCATCTATAGGCTACTCTTCAATATTTTTTTTTCCTCTCTTTTTGGATTTTCAGTAAGCTACTTTGCTATTCATTAATAATCAAATCATATGGCTTCCAAATTATAAAACTTAGATTTTTCTGCTTTGCCAATGTTCTTCTAGACTCAGTATTTCAGTTCATGCTGTTTTTTTTCCTTGTCCTTTTCTATTTTGTTATTTGAGGGAGGCAGGATTGTAAATGCCATCATGGTCTCTGTATCGTGAAAAAGACATGCTATACTATACTTTCAAGTATGGCAATAATGTAATCAGGTGACGATAGTGGCAAACTCCCATAGTTTCTAGATAAACAAGAAAATAACTATGAAAAAACGCTGTTGTTTATGTTATTTGGATGGTCCTATAAATGGTCTCCTGGGTGTGCGTAAGTGTAAAAGAATTCTCAATAGTGTAAAGCAAAATCTGACGAACAAGTCCCTTCGGGTGTTGGGACATCCAATAAAATTAGAAAGATACAGAGAAGATTAGCATGGTCCATATGCAAGGATGACATGCAATTGGGAAAATCTGAGGAACAAATGCTTTCTTTCTTCATCAATATTTTATTTAAGGATATTGTTTGCCTCCGTTATAAGGAGACACTTCTCCTTTCTGCAAATCACAGTTTGACATATATACAAAAATAATTCATCAAAAATATAAAAAGAAAAACTTTTCCACATATGTCACACTGCTATTAGCAAGAATGTAGAAATTCATACTTACATAATATGGAGGAAGTATTTTTCAAACCTGTCAAATTTATGTGCCACAAATTGAATCTGATGGAACTTGACAAAAGTTCCTTTCTTGTTTAATTTGATTCTCTTTCTTCCACATTATTTGACTGGACCTCTCGTCTATCCACTTGAGCACACATCCATGCCATGGTATGTAATGCGGCAACGACAACTCACCAAACCATAATGCCCATCATAGAAGACAGATTGTTCCTGTTTGAAGGAGGAGGCTCTCAACAAAACAGCTAATAACATAAAAACAAATCCAATCATTCAACAAAAATATAAAGGAAAAACTGATAGAGAGAGTTGTACATCAACAAGCACAGCTTTTGTACCCGTATCAAACTGTAATTTGTGTATAAGGAAGAATGACTCCTTTTAAGTAAATAGTCGGATATTTCTTCTGTTTCTTACTCAGCTTCGACACAGGGCTTTTCAATGTTTGCGTTTCTTTCCGTGTTGGTACCGTGTTTATGTTGAAAGCGACCTCACTTAGACGTTTAAGGTTAAGTGTGTTGGATTTGAACTTCATAACGATTTTCTGCATTTTTCTTTCCAGTTTTTCAGAAAGCATACGGATATTTTGTATGTATTTTCTTCCACTAGCCAAAGGCCCCAAACAAACACAAAGCTCTGGCTCTTGCATGTGTAGTGTCTAAGGTACATGTTTTATTTTTGTACAAGTCACAACCACTTCATTTATGTGGACATCTACCATGTTTTTGACTTGAATCTCCCCATTCAACGGGACACAGACGACCCCATTTTGAGCTCATGGCCCTTTCTATGGAGGGCTACAGAAATTCTCATTTCTCTTTGTCCTTCCTTTTTGTTCTCTTATGTCGTTTGGATTGAATTTTCCCAAAGACAGCAGCATGTGATTGTTGTTGTCAGCCATGTAACGACATGTGGCAAGGAAACTAAACTACCCTTTTGGATTTGTCTTGCCGTTCGGCCAGAAGAATATGATTTTGAATTGGGCCGGTTCTGGTTTAAATATTGTAGAAACAGTTCATTGTGTTTAGTTCTCATATCTACGTAGCATAGTGGCTTGGTTTAGTTTACTTTCTCCATCGATTTTCTTTCGTTATACAATGGATATTGGGAGAGGGGGATTTTCTCACATATCCACACATTGCGAAAGGAGTCTGAATCTGAGACCACTGATTTACAAGTCAATGACTTAGACCCTGTTGACGTTTCTCCATCGAAAGACATGTCAAGAGAAATTAATTGTGTCATGTTCAATTATTCCTTTAAAAAAGTGACAAATTCCATAACCTTCCCAAAGTCTTCCTTCCCCTCTGCATTCAAACTATAATGCATAGACATTGATTTACTGAAAATAGGCCATAACGATGCCCTGGTTATAAGGGAACCCTCCACTCAATTCAAGTTGCCAATGTTGTTGGACAAACCATGTTGTGGGGCTATCTCTGCCTCATTTCATGTCTCTAGTACATGATTGAGTAGTAGTTTGTCGTAAATAATATATAATATTATTGTTATTTTAATAATAATAATAATAATGATAATCTCACTCACAATTTTATAATGAATTAATATCCCCATCAAGAAAATAAAAAGGAATTAGAAGGAAAAGAAAATGTCACGTCTATATAAAGAGCAGGATTGTCACTAAAGTCAACCACATTTTCTGCTTTACAGCTACTACATTGAATGAAACCCTACTTATTGTAAGCTTTGTTGAATTAACCTACTACCTCATGAAGTAAAATACAATGTAATAGAAAGTTGTTGAATATTAATCTACTTCTAAATGCACTTTTTCAAATGGAATCTTGTTATATGGAACTGTAGAAAGGAAAATCCTTAGAGGAAGAATAAGAATAACTATATATTCAAGAGTGGAATTAGGAATTTTTTTAATGGGTGAGCTAGCTGAAATTATTAACTTAAAATCTAATGATATATTTTTTTTTTTGTGGTACTAACAGTTTCTATAGTTTTTCTAGAAATAAAAATATACATTAAATCATATAAATCACGCTAGTTGTAAACACAAGAAAAACAAATGGAATTAGAACCATATTATTCACGAAAGGGTGAATTTTATTTAGAAAAATGCTTCTCTTTTGGAGATACGTTAATGGAAAAGGATAAAAATTGATGTTTGGGACAAACTTTAACACCAAATACAAATGTGGAAGACCTTTGACTATGACTATTGGTGTGGTAGCACTGGTGGACCCATGAATTTTATGTGCAATTTTGAAATGTTAAAAACTCTTTGTGGATTGAACATTTAAGGCTCTTTACCTAGATTGACCTTAGTCCTATTTATGCATTCATATCATACATGAAAAATTATTGACTAAGTATGAAAAAAATGGTTTTTTAGAATAATCATTTTCTCAAGATAATTTTTGGTGGCTTTTATTCTTTATACTTCAAATAAGAAAACTTGATTTTATGGGATTTTAGTATGAAGTATATATTGACTTAATGAGCCATTATTTTTAGCATAAATCGTATTTTGCACTAAAACATATTTTTCATATTTTGATTAGGTGGGAATTTGATTTTCTAGTATTTTTATTTGAATCCAAATGGGGGGTACTTCCGTATTTACATTGTAAACTTAAGTAAATTGAGTAATATAAAAATAAATGAAAGTAAAAGGACAAAGACATTTACTTAAATGCTGAAAATGGAAATAAGGTAATCTGTACACCTAGAGTGCACCACCACCAGCTGAGCAAAGTGGCAATTTGAAGCACCTACAATGGTTTTTCTGGCGAGGGGAGGTGCTTAATAGGTCCGCCACTGTGTGGTAGGATATGCAATTATATTTTTTTTAAAGTTAAAAATATTAGGCTATATATGTTTAATTATTATTATTTTCCCCAAAACCTTCCCTAGGCTACGGCCCAAGGCAGCCCCTGGGTTAGTTCTGCCCCTGTATATATTAAATTCATTTAGAAATGTTTTAGTTAACCTTATATACTCGCTTGATCGGATTATCAACAAAACACGAGTTCTTACTTACAGGGAAGAAGGGAAGTATTTTCCTATTTTAAATACTTTGGTATAGACCATAAAAAATCGAACTATTTGTTGGAGTCCTGACAGATTATTTTGGTTACATTAGAAGGAATTGATCCCTTAACCGTTGACATATATTGCATTCTTTTTTATGGACGAGGGCAAGGACATGGTCACCATCCTACTTACTTGCCCACCATCCTCCTTATGACAAGTCTCCATTAGGGCATTAAGTCATACAATAACCAAAAGGCATTTCAAGGGGTACATAATATGAAACCACAAACCTCATGAATTACGATGAAGGATTAAGATCCATATATATATATATATATATCATGACATGGAGCCTAGGGTTTTCAGTAGTAAAGTGAGAGGTCCCCAAGTCACAAACGAAAAAAGCAAAGTATGGATATGGACATGTGACCTCATGTGATTTTGGATGGTGACATTGTTTTCGCCTGCCTCGTCATGCAAATCGCTTTTGTAATAACTAGCAAGAGAGCTTTTAGAAGGAGCTAAGCCAAAAAGGAAAGTGATTGTAGAGAAGCTTTTGGGGTGCCCCATGTCAAAGGATTTGCAGCATTTCAGGCGGAAGTCAAGGGAATATGAATATGTATCAGTGATAGTTTAGTTTAAGAAAAAAAAAAAAAAAAAAAAAAAAAAAGTCAATGTTTGGGCAATTATTCTGGACAGTTTCCTAATGGATATGTCATTATTCTTAGTGGTCCAGCTAAGCATATGCTATAATCTAATATGCACCTTACTGGATAAATTATTTTTAAATTGGTAATGTTTTTGTTGTACTTTGGTACTTTGCATTGAATCACACTCTGATGAGATTAACTGCACTAAACTGGATTGTATTATACAATCTAAGACTAAAAGTTGAGTGCAAAGCATGGGTACATAATTAGAATACAAATTTATATATAAACTCAATCCTAGACATGTATTTATAAAAAAACCCAAACACTATTTAAACATAGAAACACACCCAAAGTGTTTTGGGTGTTGGATTTTTTTATAATTTCAGCCCCTATTTTTGGTGTTTTAGTGAAACTCCCTAATTAGAATGTGTTATTTGGCATCTGGGTATCTAGAATAGTGAAATGACAGAATCCAAACTCACTTGTATAGTTGTAATTTGTAAGTGGGTCATCGAAAGAAATCGCATTGTTGGAGTCACTTCACAATTTGGTTCAATGATTTGAACCGTCTAAAGTTGAGATAATATATGTACATTAAAGAAGCATTTCTACAAAAACTGAAAACCATTTGTCCATTTGATTATCATTAGGAACAGTTGGGATTCATTGTGTTTGTTCATTTACAAGAATTGAACCTACATGGGGTCCCTTCGACAAAAATTTAAATGGATCCCTCAAACAGTCAAACTAGTAATTTCAACTACTAAGATCACCACAAAAAAAAAAATTCTATTTTTTGGTCAATGAGCACATAAAAAGATTAGTTCTAAGAAATACGAAAGATTTTCCATGTCCAAGAAGATAATATACTCTTTTAAGATGGAAATTTCATTAGTGCGTTTACAATTTCAATGGTTTTTTTTTTCTTCTCCAGATGTGATACCCAATCCTTATATTATTTTGTTGTTTACTCAGCCTCTTGTTTTAATTACTTGATCCTTATTTAATTGAGGGTGTAACCGTATAAGGTCCCGTTTAGTTCACATAACGGATTTGAGAGGAAATTACTTCTCATGTCATTTTTCGAGGGATGGGAAATGAAGATTCCTTTCTCATGTTTGGTAGTCTTGGAAAAGTAACCAAGAAATACCACTTTATTTCATTTCACATGTTTGGTTTGTGTAGGAATGTAAAACAAAGTTTGTTTAATTTTCCAATTATACCCATATGAAATCAAATAAAAAAAGAATGCATTTAATGCTATATTGTAATTCTATAGTCATGAAAAAAGTGTATTTAGTGTTGGCTCATTTTCCCAAACTTTCCCATAATGAGGAAAACAAAACCCAAATAGGGAGGAATGCTTCACTTTCCCTTTACTTTCCCTTATGCATGGCAACGATTTCCCATACCTGGACTTACCAAATAAGGAAAAGCAATTGATTTCTCATCTCCAAACCTCATTTCCCATAAACCAAACGGGGCCTAATAGTCATCTCCTACTCTTCCGCAAATTGATGAGGTGCGGAGATGGTTCAGTGAGGAGGAAGGGAGGATAATATTATGTATGCCAGTTAGTCAAAGGGGATGTTCGGATAAATTAATATGACACTTTACAAAAAAGAGAAGAGTATACTGTTAAATTGGGGTATGAAATCACTGGCGGATCCACAGAGGCGCAAGGAGGTGCAGCTGCACCTCCCCTCGTCGGAAAAAGCTTTGAAGTCGCCGGAGTTTGCCCCTCAGCTCTACCTTGGAGGTACCCACCACCTGTTTGAATAAATGCCTCAACAACCCAGCAACCTCCTTTTCTTTGTTGCGATGCTGCGCTTGGAGCAGCTTTTGTATTGTTTTTTAATTCCTGGCCAAACGAAGTCGTTTGGCCGGCCCAAAAAAAAAAAAAAAAAAAAAAAAAAAAAAAAAAAAATTAAGAAAAAAGCAAACTGAAGCCTTATTTGCACTGAACGAAAGAGCGTGTTCCTGGGGTCCAAGTTGGAATTAAATGGACCAAGGGATACCTGCGTTGAATGATTTTTCAAAAGCTTTGCATGCTCTTGAGCGTCTTGCTGCAGATCCATCCCTCTCCTCCAAGTTTGAATGTTTTTTTTTCTTTTTTTTTTCAGGTTTTTTTCCCCTTATGTTTTTTTATGTATTTTAATATTGTTGTTTATTTTAGAGAGATTATTTTTGTTTTCTGATTTGGTTATGTTTGTATAACCATAAACCCTAAATCCTCTTTTGAATAATTCGGGAATTTTTTTTGGCTTTTAGCCTTTTAAATGTTGCCCATTCTCAGAAAAATTCCTGGATCCGCCGCTGTATGAAATGGCGGCGGATCTTCCTTGCAATGGAGAACTAGGGTGGAAAGGAGAAGATAAGAGTAGTAATAGGAAGTAGTAGGAAGATTAATGGAAAAGAGTATGGTGCTTAAAGATGCCACCCAAATTACGATCCTTATGTGGATGAGGTGTTCCAACTCTCTTGCAGTATGCAATAACCTACGACATCGGCACATTTCAGTCGATAATAAATGTGGGATTTGTGGTCAGGAAGGGAAGACCCAAATGCACCTATTTTTTCAATGTGTGTTTGCTTGAGTTTATTGGTTTGCTTGCTCGTTGCAATTAGATGTATCGTCTGTGGAGGTAGTGATTTTGCCTCATACTAGGACTATCTTCAAAGGAGATATGGACGTGAGGGACAATCGGGGGAGCTCATGCAAGTTTTAGTTTATGGGTTGTGGCATATTTGGAAGTGTTGTAATGAGGCAGTCTTCTATGGCAAGGAGGCCAATCCTTACAAAGCTGTTTCAATTGTTTTGGCGCAAATTGATGAGTATAGGCTTTGTGTAACACTTAGGCCTAGTTTGGGATTGTTGCCGCTTTAAAAAAAAGCTGCTTATGCTGTGCTTTAAAAAGAATCAGCTGTAAAGTAAAGCAGTTAAACGTTTGGTAAACTGTAATTTTAAAAGTGTTGTGAGTATGAAAAGCAGTGTCAGAGCATTTAGTAAATTTTACCATAAAAGTGCTGTAACTATTTATAATGAAAGTCAAAGAAAAACTATGCATATATCACTTATAAAAATAAAGAGCAAATTTTTATTTCTTTTATTTAATCAAGCTCTCTAGAAAATAAAATTAATAAACAGTAAGAATAATACATATATCAGTTATGGAATAAAATTCTATGAATTCATGAGCTTTGTTATAACTACTTTTGTGTTTTTGTTTTCTTCTTAATAATTGCTTATCACAGCTAACCTACAACATACACCAATTCATTCTCTATCTACTCACAGCAACAAATTTGAATGATTCTAAAAGCACACAATGATGACGTCATCAATGGGGCTTCCATTCAACCCTGTGGCTGCATCAAGGTCACTGGGTGTCCAGCCTCACTAATGTGTGCAGAAGCCAAGAATATCAGATGGGTCTTCAATGGTGGCTATATTTAGTGACCTCAGCACAGGTTTTGGGATGGCATGAACACCGTTCATGCTTGAAACCATGGATTTGATTTGGCTAGGAAGTTTTCGTGTGGAAAAATTTCCAACACAAGAATCAGATATACATAATAAGCACAACCAGTAGAAAAAACAAAAAACAAAAGCAGCACGTATATAAAAATTTCGAGAGATTGAAGAGATTGAAGAATAAATATGTCCCAGAAAATTATAATCAATAACTTTGGAGAGATTGATAATCTATCTTGTGAAAGAGATTGAGAGAGATTGAGCCTTGGGAGGCTATGTGAAGATGAACTTTGGTGTCTGTAGCTACGTGAGGATAATTATCTAATCTAATAAGGGTATTTGTGGAATTGCGAAAATTTCATTAAAGGGAGCGCGCTGCTTCAATTGAAAGCAGCTTTAAAAAGCAACCCCGAGGTTGCTTTTAAAAGCTGCTGTCAAAATACCATTACTTTTAAAATAAGCAAGATATTTTATTTTTACCAAACACCATAAACTGCTTAACTTTAAAGTTAAACTGATTTTTAGCCAAAAAAAGCAATCCCAAACAGGGCCGTTAGTGAATGAGTTGCCTCGGCCTCTAGAATAGCGGAAGGTGGTGCAAGCTATGTGGAAAGAACCCAGATACAGCACGATGAAAGCAAATTATGATGAAGCTTGGGTAGCAAAAACTTTGAAGGGTGGATATGTTGGGTGATTCGTGATTTTACAAGGTGGATGATGCAAGCCGGAGGTCAAGGAGACATGTGGTATGGATCAGCTCTCGTTGCTGAGGTTGTGCTATCAATTCAGTTTTGTTAGCTTATCAACAGGGTGGTTTCTCTCGAGTGGTGGTTGAATCTGATTCCCAAGTGACCATACATATGGTGAATGGGGACTGAGCAGTGGATGTGGAGGTGGAGAGTAAGGACAGAACTGCACTATGGCTAGAGACTCTAGCCTAGTGCAAAGTTTGGGAAAAAATAAATTTAATACTAATTTTTAGGCGCTACACCTCATTTTACAAAAATTAGCCCAATCCATCTAAGCAAAAATTAGCATGTCTTATCCAAACAGATCTCCAATTAGCTTCAAGTTTTCTCCTATGAAAAAATAAATGGAATTTTTATTTTGATCTTTACCCATATAATTAAGAAATAATAGCCCACCTCTATAAAAATTTATGGTTCAAGCCTTAGTGGAAAGTATCTTTTTCGACATCCAAGCTGCGAAATGAGAATTCCAGGAAGTATTATTTGTTTTTGCCCCTTGTAGTTGTAACAAAGTTGCTCACGAGGTGGCTTCTTTTGCATGTAGGGAAGGTGATAGTTTTTATTAGGACTTTATCCCTCCAGCATGGTTGTTTAACACCTTGGCTGGCAATGCTACTGTAAGCAGTTGACTTCAATAAAAGTTTCCTTTTTCTTGGAAAAAAAAAATCTCATACTTTTACACACCATAATAAGGTCCAGACATCCGCATAAGAAAAGAACTATATATATATATATATAATTATGGTATGATAAATCATATTATGTCTACAACAAATGAATTTGGTTAAGTCTTTGAACAATCAATATGTCTTTTGGTTGAAATGGTACAAACCAACGAATGTCTTTTGGGCAATATGCTCTCTATATTCATGTTGCTAACATACCAAAATATGTCAGAAACTACGTACTTTCTCTTCTCCTCAACAATCACACAATTTTCATATAGAATTTTGCTATTTGTAGATTCCAAACTTTGTTGTATCATGGAAGTGATTTGCCAAGAATTCATTAGCAAACTCTATTGAGCAGGCATTAGGCGCTGCAACTTCGACCACCACTGCCACTTCCAACCTCCTCTGAAATCAGGACAAAGGAAACGATTCAAATCATACCTCAAAGTCGTTTTCCATATGTCAATCTCTACAAATCAGAAAGACCATACAAGATGACAAATTTGAATTGGAAAGTTGGTCCATTGACTTAAACAACTCTATATGTTTTATGGATCTGGTTTCTCTCTTAATATATATAGGCTTATTTATGTACATGCCACCTGTGCTTTCAAACTTGTCTCAGATTACCACCTGTGTTTGCAAACGTCTCAAAATACCCCTCAACCTTTTAAAAACGGTCTCACGTTACCCGTTTCGTCAGTTTTATAGACGTTCCGTTACGTGTGTTGGGCTCCACTTCGTTTTAATCTTTAACCTCTTCAAATAAGGATTTTTCAGTTCTAAGAAAGGGGGAAATTGGGTGAGAAGAGGAAATTGGAGAAGAGGGCTTAGGGTTTGTGAAAATTTGATAAACGTCACCAATAAGGGCAGGAGGAAACCTCAAGCACAATGGCTTCCCAAAAGGAGGTGGATGATCCTTGACCAACTTCGCTTTTTTGGACCTCCTAAACAACTTGTCTAACACTTCTTCTTCTTTACCATGCAATCCAGCTCTCATTTCAACCACTAGAAGCCCATTTTCAACAGTTATCTAAGTAGAATTAAAACATCTATTGCTAAGATATTGATATTGAGAACAAGATTGGGCACCAGTAAGCTGCTCCAAAAGTTCTTGCACAAAATCGACATCTAATCCAAATCTATCCTGGTCCAGCCATTTCATTAATATGTCGTCAAATGAGCCAGGTTTGTCGTCCGCCTGAATTACAGATGGGATGCTAACAGAAACTGGTGAGCTACAAAACGTGTCCAATGGAGTATGGTTCACTTTGTCATCCTTGTTTCTTATAACCCCATTTTGGAAGCCCTGGGCATTTTGAACATGCTTACAGACAAATTTAAAAATGCTTTTATGTTTAAATATTTCATAACAAGCATTAACAATTTTTTGTGAAATCATTCCCAAGTTGCAGACGAAGAATGGTCTTCTATTGAAATCTCACTAATGTCATCCCTTGTACCCAAATCAGCAGATGAAAGAGTTCCAGGTTTTCCACAACCAGAATTATCTTCAAACTGCAATTCAGTTGATGTCTGGACATCACTGGCTTCCTCCGACCAACTCCTCAGGCAAGACAAAATATCATCTCCCAAAATCGAAGCCAACCTCAGATTTTCACAAACCCTAAGCCCTTTTCTCCAATTTCCCCTTCTCATCCAATTTCTCCCTTTCTTAGAACTGAAAAACCCTTATTCAAAGAGGTTAAAGATTAAAACAAAGTGGGGCCCAACGCACGTAACAGAACGTCTATAAAACTGACGGAACGGGTAACGTGAGACCGTTTTTAAAAGGTTGGGGGGTATTTTGAGACGTTTGCAAATACATGTGGTAATATGAGACAAATTTGAAAGCACAGGGGGCACGTACATAAATAAGCTATATATATATATTATAGAATAAACAATAGTTATTATTGATGAACAAACAAAGTACAAAGCAATTATGGTGCCAAATATGGATAAATCTTCTCCAGTGACCAAACATAACAATATGTTGAATTGATCTAGAGAGAATCACGTGCAACCCACAAAACCACTAAAATCTCCGATTCGGCAACCATAAGCACATGTACTCAGACATGCAATGCAAATCCGTCGCGCAAAGGCAGAAACGGTAAATTCGTATTGAAATATGAAAGTTTAAAAAAAAATCCTAAATAGAAAACAAACCACAACAAACTCTAAAGAGTTCTTGAAAATTGTTAGATTAAAACAAACTAAGAAGTAGAACCACCGCTCCACATCCACCCCAGCAACCCGAAGAGAGTTATAGCGCCATATCAACTAAACCCATAATGTCGCATCAGCTAAACCCAAACCTGACTCAACCCGACATCTTCCCCTCTTTGCAGCTCCAAACTATGTAGAAGGCGTTAACTGGAGATAAATCTTTGTGTGTGTGGGCCAAAAGACGGCTACTATATCATGACGACCACAACATTTCACGTCAGCTGCTTCCACATCACAAAACCTAATTTTTTTTTTCTTTTATTAAAGCTCATATTTGGTCTATAATTAAGTTGTGAATTTATTCAATTATTCCTTTTCGGACCGCCCCAAGCTGGGAGATATTTGATTGATTCAATTAAGCTTTGATTCGACAAGGAGATCAGTCTTACCCATTTTTACAGGTAAAGGTAAAATTTGAACTTAACTATTTCCACATTAATCTCCATCAAAAATTGTAATAGTACCATAAATATTTGGGAGATTCACTAATATACCTAATATGGGGGCCCAAATTATAAAAATACCCCATATAAAATGAACTTTATAAACGCACCCAAAACTCATTTACAACATAACAAAGAGGCTTTAACTTCTTATAAATTACAAAACTACCATAAATTTCTTAAAACAAGCCCAACCCCAAAATCTCATAAAAATACCCAAAACACTCAATAGGGCATTAAAGTAATTTAATAATCAATATTAAATTCAATAAGGCCAGCTGTCATTTTGGGGGGTTTTTTTGGGTTTGTTTATAGAAATTCAATGATGGAGGGTTTATCTATAATATTAGTGCTAAGAATGAGTATATCACTAAATATCTCTAAATATTTTAGATAGAAAAATAAATATAGAAACACAAAAATGCATAGAGACACAGAGTCAGACAATCACTGAAAAAAGAAATAATAAAAAACTGATATAAATTAATAGTTGGAGAGAGTGATAGAGCTAACGAAAAGAGTCAAAGGAAGTTGCAACTTTTGAAAAAGGGAAGAAAAAAAAAGAAAGAAAAAAGAAAGAAAAAAGAAAGTAAGGCAAAAGAGAGAGGGAATGAATGAATGGGGGAGGCATCAGAATCCTAACTCATGACATGAACACACCAAGTGCTCCTCTCTCTCCTCTACTTCCCCACTTTCTTCTTCAACACCCAACAAACTCTCTCTCTCTAGGGTTTTACTTTCACCACATCGCGTGTTGTACCATTGCCTCTACTGCACTTTTCCTATGGTTCGTACGCTACACACACACACACACACACTCTTTCTCTCTCTCTCTCTCTCTCTGTTTCTCTCTCCTGAATCCAACTCTGTAGAACCCAAGTTTCTGATTTGCTTTTGCTTCTTTGCGTTATCTAAATTTGGGATTTTTGTATGACTCTATCACTGTCGCTCATTGTCTAATCTGGTCTGATTTACTTTGTTGTTCCTTTAATTTTATTTTGTTGGTTGATTGAATTTATGGGCTTGGTTGGTGAGAAATTTAGGAGTGGAAAGTGGTTTACTTGTAGCGTTTGTCATTGGGTACTTTGGTGTTGAATTTATTGGATCATAAAGTAGGATTTTTTTTTCCTGTTCTGGTTGGCCTTGGAGGTTTTGGAAATGGTGAGTTGAGTTTTGTGGTTTGCTTGTCTGTTGATTGCTGTGACAATGTGAAATTAGTAACTTTGGGATGGTGGATTTGCTGTTTTTGAAAAGTGTTCTTTGTTTGTGTGCGCTTTTTTAGCTGATTTAAGGGATTGTTTTGTTGTGGTTTCAACTGGAAAATTTAAGTGGGTGAAATTTGTGCTTGGTAGGCAGATTCGATAGCTGTTTTTCCAGAACATTGTGCTGAAGCCACTTGTAGGAACTGTTAAGTAGTTGTTGAACACCACATCCGAGGCATACTAATTACCAAGGGATCTTGGGTATATAACCAGGGCCTATGAACCCAAATGTTAAACTTCTGCTTAGTTATTTTGGACAAGTATCTGTGTTGTTCCAGTATTTCTCATTTTCTTGATCAGACATGTTCGTGATTTTGTGTCATCTTCTGAATGAGAAGGTTACTTGGCATTGGAAACCAACTGTTGTGCATGTTTGATTTATAATTGGTTAAAGTAGGTATACTTATTGAGGATGCGATTTCAATTATACTTGGTAAGTGACTGATGTTTGGTTTTTTGTCAATGCAGGAAACCTGCATTCCGCAATGCGGTAAACAATGATACATGGATATAGAGATGTTTCTTTGAGACTCTTACTTGATGAATTTGTTCTCTTTAGTAGCTGGGAGATAAAATGCATACTTAAAAAGACTGAGTTACGTGGGTTGACATTAGTTGAGTGAACGAAATGGAGTTTGCAAGGTCTTGGTTAAAAAAATTCAAGTCCAAGGAGAAGGTGAAGTCCTCAAAGAACAAGGATACCTCAGGCAATGGGAAAGAGGGGTCAAAAACACCAACGACGGAAGAAGTGCCTTCAAATGTAACCAAGCAGAAGGTTGCAGCTGCAAAGCAATATATAGAGGATCATTACAAGAAGCAGATGAAAAGTTTGCAAGAGAGGAAGGAGCGGTATGAATTTAATAATTCTCTTTATAGTGGTTGTGTTAGACAGAGAAAACTGTCTGACACAACTTGCTAAACTACTTATTGCTTCTCTTTATAGTGGTGGTGCATGAAAACCATGAAAGCAAGTTGCCTGAGTGTTGAGTTTTCTCCATTTTCGTGACTCGGAGTAACGGTAGATCATACTTTTAATACAGACGCAATGTACTAGAAAAGAAGTTGGCTGATGCTGATGTCTCTGAGGAAGAGCAAAGCAACTTGCTGAAGTACTTGGAAAAGAAGGAAACAGAATATATGCGAATTCAGAGGCATAAAATGGGTGCTGATGATTTTGAGCCACTAACGATGATAGGAAAGGGTGCATTTGGAGAGGTATGTCTTTTCTTTTAATAATGTTGTACTGTATCATTTTGTCCTGTTGTATCCATGCACCACGGCATAATTTTTATGTGATCATATTGTATTTGATCATTTCAATAGTGTTTGTAGTCCATAATGGTCATGGCTGCAAATTAAGTTCTATATATATACATGCATTTTTCCTATCTCCTCCCAGAAAAACCAGAAGAAGAAAAACCTTCTCCCCCTTCTATCCGGGATCGTTCACCTGCAAGTCCTTTCAGTCCTTTTTGCGCAACAAGGGGAGGGTTGTGACCTTTCATCCCTTCTCTCTTGTGTGGAGGCTGAGTCTCCCTTAAGGTCAAAGTCTTTGTTTGGTTGGTGGTGCTTGGGAAAGTTAACACTTCGGATCTAGTCCAAAGGAAGAGACCTTTTATGTATCTGTCTCCTCAATGGTGTGTATTGTGCAAGCGTAGTGAGGAGAATATGGACCACCTTTTCTTACATTGCCCTTTTTCCTTAAGTCTTTTGGGGGCTCTTGTGGAGGGAGGTTGGGACTGTTTGGGTGATTCCGAAAAGGTGCTCTGATTTCCTTTGTTCTCACTTTGTGGTTTGGGGAAAGGGGAAGTGCGCTTCAACTTTATGGGGCTGTTTGGTCCACTCTGTATTCTGGAACATTTGGATGGAGCGTAATAGGAGAATTTTTGAAGACTATAAGGGAGTGGGAGTGGTTGAGCTTTGGGATAGAGTTAAGTACTGGGCAGCTTTGTGGGCTTCGGTTACAAATGATTTTAAAGACTACTCTTATTCCACTATTATGAGGGATATGGCAGCTACGGTTAACTGAGGGTTGGGGGGTGTGTTGTTCTGTGGTTTTTCGGTTTTGTTCCTCCCTGTTAGTTGGGGAGGGACTGGTGCTGTTTGTTTCTCTCTCTGTGTTGTTTTTGTTTCTTCGGTGGTGGTTGCCTTATCCACCTCCGTGCTCTTTTGCTTAATAAAGTTCGTTTCTTCTATAAAAAAAATCCTTTTTCATTTTAAATATAATAGAGGGTATTCTGGGAGAGATGGGCAGGAGAAAAAAAATATTTTTAGCTCTGGTGGAATTATGGTTATGGTTTGGGAGTTTTGGCATCTGTGCGTGGGTTAGGTCACATGTCACATCAGCTCTGTTTAGCAGACCACATTACCAGGCCGGGAGTTAGTTTTCATGTTGTATATTAACTGCAGTTAGCATCCATCTATGAAAGAGTATGAAAATATGGCTTGTTGCATGTACAAGCTTAGATTGCATAGAGTTACAACTTAGTGATTCTTCTGACCGATTTTGGCATATATAACTCATCTTGAGAAATAAAAGTGGCCTTTGTTAATACATTTTGTCTTACAACATTGTAATCAACATATTGGATTTTATTTTTTTCTTTTGTGACCTATTTTGTTTCTCTGGTGCAGGTTAGAGTCTGTAGGGAGAAAGCAACTGGCCATGTATATGCAATGAAGAAGCTTAAGAAATCAGAGATGCTTCGTAGAGGCCAGGTATACATTTTCCCAAACTTTTTCTTCAATCTAATATATTTTTTCTTTGGTGGGCTTAGTGCAATAGATATCTTTCTGTTTAGGTTGAACATGTGAAAGCTGAGAGGAATCTACTTGCAGAGGTTGACAGTAATTGTATCGTCAAGCTCTATTGTTCCTTCCAGGATGAAGAGTACTTGTATCTCATTATGGAATATCTTCCCGGTGGAGATATGATGACTTTATTGATGCGCAAGGATACATTGACAGAAGACGAGGCCAGGTTTTATGTTGGGGAAACGGTCCTAGCTATTGAGTCCATTCATAAACATAATTACATTCATAGGTAAATTGATCATAATATTATTATCTCATGGTACATATTTATATGCCTTCTTATCTTATTTTTATGTCCTATCATGAGGAATGTTCCTTTCCATGTTAATATGTTACAGGGATATTAAGCCTGACAACTTGCTGCTCGATAGAAATGGTCACATGAAATTATCGGATTTTGGATTATGTAAACCATTAGATTGCAGTAATCTCCAAGAAAAGGATTTCTCCATGGGAAAAAATCTTAGTGGGGCTCTTCAAAGTGATGGACGCCCTGCAGCACCAAAACGTACACAACAGGAGCAATTGCAGCATTGGCAGAGAAACAGGAGGATGCTTGTAAGTTCTAGTACCATGTTACTGATATGGCTATCATTACTATAGTACTGACAATGTTAATACAAATCCAGCATCCTCTTGTTTAAGTCCTTACTGTGGAGGATTTGTATCCTACGCAATTACTGTAAATGTTTAAACTCAACAGACTCCATTGAGAATTTATCATTTGAAAAAACGACAAGATTTGGGATCTACTACATGAGTTTATGAATAATTGGGGTCCTTATCTCGAGTAACCATATGGTTCCAAATTCCATGCTGCTTCCTATGCGTCTCCATGTACCCCATTTCACTCTGATCTATCTCAAATAGCATTTCCTCATTTTTTTTGTCAATATAAAAAGATGTGTAGAAATGTCATATACCTAGAGATATCTCCAGTCCATCCTTTTGGACGTCAATGTGATTTGGAGTTTTCAAACTGTTATTCGTGTTGCAGGCTTATTCTACTGTTGGAACCCCAGATTATATTGCCCCAGAAGTTTTGCTGAAGAAAGGATATGGAATGGAATGTGATTGGTCAGTGTACAAGACTGGTTTTTTTTATTTTCCTTTCAAATTTGCCTTTACATGCAGCTGAGATATTGTTAATACTTTCCAGGTGGTCGCTTGGGGCTATTATGTATGAAATGCTTGTGGGGTATCCACCCTTTTATTCAGATGAGCCCATGTCAACTTGTAGGAAGGTAATTTTCAAGGGCACTAGTGTTTACTTTTCATTTGATATGCCAACGTATACCAAGCTATGGCTTTAGGATATATGTGTGGTAAACATGACACTGGTGGGATGCAGTTTTGTACTTATGAATATATCATATATGGAGCTTGCTTTCTGGTGATTGAAGGAATCACACTTTGGGTTATGTCTTAATTGTTTCATTTTCTTACTCTTTATTCACCCATTCTCATTATTTTTGTCCATATTGTCGTTTATGGTTGAACAGTACCTCTTTTCTCATTTATCCAGATAGTTAATTGGAGAACTCATTTGAAATTTCCTGAAGAAGCCAAACTCTCTCCAGAAGCAAAGGATCTCATTAGTAAACTCTTATGTAATGTTGATCAGAGGCTTGGAACTAAAGGGGCAGATGAAATAAAGGTGTTGTGTGGTGTGTCCTATTCTAGATTCTCAAATTTACTGCTAGAATTGGACTGGTAACTGGTGAAATTAACTAGTTGGCCTTGTTATTTTCAGGCTCACTCCTGGTTTAAAGGCATTGAATGGGACAAATTGTATCAAATGAAGGCTGCATTTATCCCCGAGGTCAATGATGAATTGGATACCCAGAACTTTGAGAAGTTTGAAGAGGTAGATTTTAGTTTTGTATATGTATGTGTATGTACACACAGCATGATTAGCCATTCTTGGGCATGTTTTTGCTAACCCTTTCTGTCCCTTTATCCTTATTTGCTGGTGGTAGGGTGACAACCAGATTGAAAGTTCAACAAGATCTGGTCCATGGAGAAAGGTTGGTGCTATTAGTTTCAGTCATATGCATTTTGATTCTGGAACTCTGCTCTCATAATTTTATGTCATTGTATCACATAATGCTTCTGTTGCTTGAGCATTTCGTTAGCTAATCCTGCTTTGTTTCACCTCTCCTTGGACTCTTTCTGTTTATGAATTTCCTTTCAAACATTGATGCTGCTTGGTTAGAAGAAATTGCTTTACCAAAACTGCAACTTCTTCAAACTCTTTCAAGAAAGTTATTTATAAAATTTGTTTGAATGTTTTCTTTGGAATGAATAATAATTTCCTTTTTGACTGAACAAAATATATTAGTTCCTTTTTACGCGTGGTGGGCACTTGATTGCAGGACCCTGAGGACATTTATCATAATATAGAAGCAAGGGGGTTCATGAGTTTTCCATCGAGTAATATGGTGTCTTTAGTATATGGGTTGGTCAGTGTGCCCATAATATATAGTGTCATATATTTAGGAGAATGCGTACTTTTGCATGATAACGAGCTATAGGATTAACATAGGATCTATGTAATTTTTTTGAGTTGTAAATCATGTGTATGATTTTTATAATAAACAATGGTCACTGCTAATATTTTGGTTGCTGTGTCAAATGTAGATGCTGTCTTCTAAAGATGTCAACTTTGTGGGTTACACATACAAGAACTTCGAAATCGTAAATGATAATCAATTGCCTGGGATTGGTATTACCTTCCATCCTTTTATATAGCGTATCTATGTACTCTTTTGAATCTACTTTTCTTAATTGTATGCATTAATTTTTGCAGCTGAATTGAAGAAGAAGAGCACAAAACCTAAGCGGCCTTCCATCAAGTCCCTTTTCGGTAAGATATTCTAATAAGTTGTTTTCCTCGCTCATATGAAATAGTATCCCTTTGTGTGCTGCAAAGAGTGAAGTGATATATTGTGAATTCTGAAACTGAATGGTTCATTTATTTAATATGTTTGCTTTTTGTAACTGAAGTGTTTGCTTTTTCTTATTGTTCTGGAACATGTGCTAGAATCCTTTAATTTTCTTTGGCATAGTCTCCAAAACATAAGGACATTATTTGTTTTGTTGACAGATGATGAGTCCGCTATGGCTGCCAATCAACCTGCTCAAGGAAGCTTTATGAAGCTCCTCCCTCCCCAACTAGAAGCCCCTGAGTAACAGAGTGAATCCCAATGATGTGCACTAGTTTCCAGTGGCTGTAGAGTTCCAACCAAAGAGAATGTTTTTTCGGTGATTAATTTATCGTTAGATCGGGGCAAAGGCCTCAGAAACCAATGGTTTGGCATATTAGTTAGTTCTTGGGTCTGGGTCTGGTCTGCTATGTTGCTTTTTTGTCACATATTTTCTGCAAAGTATATATTCTTTGGAAATCGTTGTGTATTCTTTATTTTTACTCCCTTTGTCAAGATGCAATGTACAATTGCCACATATTTGTTCATGTATTTAACTTGTGTTGATGATTATCATACCAATGCTATATAATGAAAAGAGTAAATTGGATCATTAGTCTCTTACCTTTTACCCGACTAAATCAGTCCCTTGTAGAGGACAACAAAACAAGAATGTCATCCAAGGGTTTGGAGTGTACAGAACTCAATATTTATTTCTTACTTTATTTTTGTTATTTTTGTCCTTTTTTCTGTTGGTCTCTGTTATGTTGTTCATTCATTTCATTACCCAGCTTTTTACTAGGCTTGAAAAATGGTACTTCGAAGAAACAAAATTTGTTTTCTTTAAGGGAAAAAAAGGTTAATCTAACATGAAAAAGACAATTAAAAACGTGAATTTGACCAGTTGGCCAAGGGCAGTGAGTCTGTTCCTTGTTTCAAGTTCATATCCCCCTTACCCTATAGATTATTTAAAAATAGTTTTTGACTCTCTCGTAAAAACATGAGAGAGACCATGAAAACTTAATTGACTCCAGAAAGAATCAGAGAAAACCCCAATAAGCAAAGGATGGTACGTCGTAGTAGCAAACACTCCTTCAAAATCGTTCCTGGAAGACACAGCAACCGAAGTATACATCTAATCTCGGGGAAGCCATCAAAGAACCCAAAACAACAATGCTTGTAGCCAGACAAAAAACCAATCACCAAGAACCCTCCAAAACCCATGAGCTCCATCCAAACACTGCTCAAAACCCTCTTCAAGAACCCCAGCACCATTAAATCCCAGTCCCAGGCCAAACAGCTCCATGCCCAAATCCTCAAAACCAAAGGCCCTTCACCTCCTGACCTGTCCTTTGTGCTCTCTGTTTACTCAAACTTGAACCTCTTACATGACTCCCTCACTCTCTTCAACACCTTCCATTCTCCTCCCACCACTCTTGCATGGAAGTTCATTATTAGATGCTACACTTCCCATGGCCTCTGCCGCCATTCCTTGGCTTCCTTTGTAGAAATGAAGGCTTTTGGCATATACCCAGATCACAATGTGTTCCCTTCTGTGCTTAAATCATGCACATTGATTAAGGACTTGAGGTTTGGTGAGTCAGTTCATGGGTGCATTGTTCGGTTCGGTATGGATTGTGATTTATATACATGTAATGCTCTTATGAATATGTACACCAAGTTAGAGGCTTTGGCTGAGACTGGTGGGTGGAGGTTTAGTGCGCCCAAGTTGTTTGATGGAATGCCTCAACGAAATCAAGTTAGTAAATTTGGGAGTGATTTAGGTAGTTCTATGGAATTGAGTGGTAGAACTGTGTCTTTGGAGGTAGAAAGTGAGGGAAGGATGCTACTTTCGGATGGGAATGCAAAGAGAGAAGTGGGTGGTGGTGACACTTTGTATAGTAGTCAATCAAATAAACTGAGTAATAAGTTGCAGGTGCAGGTAATGGGCATTGACAGGAATATTAATTTGATTTCATCTAGAGAGACGTCTCCTCATATTGACGCATACCGGGAAGTTGATGATAAATTTAATGGGAACCTTAATAAGGTTTTTATGCATAAGGAAGGCAAAAGAGGTACCAAAGTGGACAGCGTGAGAAAGGTCTTTGACTTGATGCCAAAAAGAGATATTGTTTCCTGGAATACAGTGATTGCGGGGAATGCACAGAATGGGATGTATGAAGAAGCTTTAGCAATGGTCAAAGATATGGGGAATGCCAACTTGAAGCCTGATTCTTTCACTTTGTCTAGCGTCCTTCCAGTTTTTGCAGAATATGTAGATGTTATCAAGGGAAAGGAGATTCATGGGTATGCAATAAGACATGGGTTTGATGCAGATGTATTCGTAGGGAGTAGCTTAATTGACATGTATGCAAACTGCAATCGAATTAAAGATTCGCTTCGGGTGTTCAACCTGCTACCTAAGCGTGATGCCATTTCATGGAACTCAATCATTGCAGGTTGCGTGCAGAACAGTATGTTTGATGAAGGACTGATATTCTTTCGGCAGATGCTGATGGGTAAGATTAAGCCTGTGCCGGTATCCTTTTCAAGTACCATTCCAGCTTGTGCTCACTTGACAACACTTCATCTAGGGAAGCAGCTCCATGGATATATAATTAGGGGCGGATTTGAGGACAATGTGTTCGTAGCGAGCTCACTGGTGGACATGTATGCCAAATGTGGTAACATTAGGATAGCAAGGTGGATTTTTGATAAAATGGAGCAACATGACATGGTGTCATGGACAGCCATGATTATGGGATATGCTTTGCACGGTCATGCCCCTGATGCTTTTTCCTCATTTGAGCAGATGGAAGGAGAGGCAGTAAAACCTAACTATGTCTCCTTCATGGCTGTATTGACTGCATGTAGCCATGCTGGATTGGTAGACAAAGCTTGGAAGTATTTTAATAGTATGACTAAAAAATATGATATTGCTCCTGGTATAGAGCACTATGCTGCTGTTGCAGATGTTCTTGGTAGAGCTGGAAGGTTGGAGGAAGCTTATCAGTTTATCTCTAGCATGCATATAGAACCAACAGGAAGTGTATGGTTAACATTGTTGGCTGCTTGTAGAGTTCACAAGAATGTTGAATTGGCTGAGAAGGTTGCTGATAAAATATTTACAGTTGATCCCGAGAACATGGGAGCTTATGTGCTGTTGTCAAACGTATATTCTGCTGCTAAGAGATGGAAAGATGCAGTGAAAGTGAGAACCTGTATGAGGGATAAGGGCTTGAAAAAGAAGCCAGCCTGCAGCTGGGTTGAAGTTAAAAACAAGGTTCATGCTTTTGTGGCAGAAGATAAATCCCACCCAGATTATGATCGAATAATTGAGGCTCTAGATGTCATTTCGGAGCAGATGGAACGAGAAGGATATGTGCCCAACACAAATGAGGTGCTCCATGATGTTGAGGAGGAGCAAAAGAAGTACTTATTGTTCCACCACAGTGAAAGGCTTGCCATAGCATTTGGCATCATCAGCTCTCCTGCTGGGGCAACAATTCGAGTAACAAAGAACATTCGGGTGTGCGTGGACTGCCACGCAGCAATAAAATTTATGTCGAAGATCGTCGGGAGAGAGATGATTGTCAGGGATAATAGCAGGTTTCACCATTTCAAGGATGGAGAGTGTTCCTGTGGAGATTACTGGTGAGATAAACAATGAGATCATGCCAACTTAATTAAAGGCATCTTTTGCCATACTCATAGTCATTGACACATTTAGGACAAGAGGAGGAATGTTTAGGGAGCAACTCAAATTAGGTAGATTATTTTTTTGCAGTCATAATCTGTACAAAAAATTGAGTTTGAAATTCATAAATTTCTATTTATTACATTTACAATTTTACTTGATGAGGATTGTATGATATGTTCATTATCAATGTCACGAGATTAACATATTTTCAAAATATTTGAAAGGCAATACCGGCCTGACCCATTGGTTGGCCTGGGTTTGACCAAAAACCAAGAGGTTGAGAGTAGTAAAGTTTTTTTCTTTGTATTTTTAGTACAAACGATGGTCTAAACTATTAGAGAGACTTTCATGCACGAGAATAACAAAGTGTTATTTCCAGCCAATTGCGCAATGACACGGGGGATAACTTTTTCATATGTCATTGCATTATTGGCCGGAGATAGCAAAATAGTGCAATCTCTATTACAAAAAAGTTTTTCTGCTAAATTAGAAGAGAAGATGGGGTTTTTCACACACATTACCACATTGTCATAGAGGTTCGAATATGAGATATTACAAGTATTTGTTTATGTTTTAAAATAAATAAATATATATATTATAATGTGTATTTTAAAATAAAAAAAATTTCCATTTATTTTATACGGGAGTGTTGCATTGTCTTTGAAATAAATGTTTTTCATTATGCATATTGAGTAGTTATGGCTTTAGGTAAACCCTACCATCACCCATCGATGCACGGACTAGAATCCCACTGTCCACAGGCCCCAATCCAAGTTAAGGTCGAATCAGATACCAACTATTTTATATCTGTTCGCACACACCAATGGAAGCCCTTCACCAGAAAAAAAAAAAAAAAAACACTAATGGAAGCCGCACTTCAATTCACGTGAGTGAGATGCATACAGCGTACTCACTGACAGAGGGCCCCTGAAAATTTCAATTTCAATTTCATAAAAATATATATATATATTATATTTATTTCTTTTTCTATTTCTATTTCTATTTTATTCCTTGCAATGATTTAAGGGACAACCCTTTTAAGCAATAGCATGTTTGTTGCCAAGTTGTCTACTTTTAACATGCTTAGGCAAGCAAGCAAAGGCGAGGCAAGGGTAATACCTACAGCACCAGTTATTATTACTTCTACTATTTCCTACTTTATTTCTTTTGTTATAGTGTAAGACATCTGGGGAGATCTAGGTTGAAGTTGCAAATTTTTGGATTTAATTATGAATCTGAATTATTTTTACTTTACTTTTTATTGTAATCAACTTTTTATGATGATTTGTTTGACCTTAAGTGCTACTTTGCGAGGCCATATAAAACTCATATGCATAATATACATTTTTTATTTTCACCGCATCTAACCATAGTTTGACGTTACCACTTCACATGATTTTTTGATTTATAAAGAAGACTGAATCGAACTTAGGATCTCTTCGAATTCATGTTTATAATAACACATTCACTAAAATATAATACATAATACACTTTGAGCAATAACACCATGGTTAAAAACTGGTGCACAAAAAAACTTATGAGACATAATTCATAAGCTAAAAAGAACAAAAAAAAAGAAAAAGGAAATATCTTTTTTGTCCTCTATTATGATATTATAATTTATAGCAAACAAGAGACCCAGAGAAGTTATACAAATCCAATTTCTTTGACGTGTTGTGTTAGTAGTATCCGAAAAGGATTGGTTCTCAAATCAAATCTACAGCAAATACACGATGGCAAATGAAGAAAGTTGATTATGAAAATTAAAACTACACGTAATTCTTGATGAGAATGGTTATCAACCCTCCACATTTTGTACATAATTAGAGATGACTGATCTGTATGTCTAATAATTGCAGGTTCAACATTTTCACGTAAAGCACTTTCTAACATTAGAAAAGCACTTATTATGATCAAAACAAACATTTAAAAATAAAAACAAACTTTGCCAGATACTTAGTCAAGAAGGATTGAAATTGCTTTTGTTTAATACAGCATTGACAAGAATCCTCACAAAAAACATCAATTTGACAATACGTATGATGATGACAACTCATTTACGGGAAAGACTTATACGTAACAAGTGTATGTTTTAACAACAGGTTGTTATGCGAGAGAAGGTGTACAAGCGTATTTTCATTAATTTTAACTAGTAAGAAAGTACTTAATCTCACATCAACACTATAATATGGATGATCATAACTCATTTACGAAAAAAATTTATCTGTAATGAGCATATACTTTGACATCATCAAATATTAATCACGAAACCATTTATTGCGAGAAAAATGACCTGTACACATTACACATGGATGGTTTTCTCGATATAAGAAAATAGTGAACCCACCATACTTGTGGAAAGTAAACATTTGTGAGTTGTGTCTTCTTGTTCAAGTGGAATTGAAGCTACGAAGGAGTAGTTGGACAATGGACGCACAGCCTTCTCATCAGTCATCATTTTTTTTTAATGTTATTAAAAAAATAGAAATAAAAACAAAACAAAAATAAAAAAAGTAAAAGAATTAAAGTTAATTATAAGTTATGTAGCAATTAAAAAACCTAATCATATCGTGTCATATATCCAGCTTTTCCTTACATCAATCAATCATCCACTCTCATCCATCTTCCCTTGTTTTCTCTTCCCCTCTTCCCCTCTCCCCTCTCTATCATCCCAATATTCCTTTTCTCAGACCGTCCAAATTTTCACCAGAAAATCAAAACTTTCCCAGAAAACCCAAAACCCCTTATCCTCAACCCAGATCCAAAGATCCCCTCCAATCCTAACATCACTTTCTTTCTTACCAAAATTCATATTTGTTCCTTTTTGGGCCGTGAAAATCTCAAGCGGTAGATTCCTTTTCGACTTCAAAGTCCCATCCATTCTTTTCCCACGCTGAAATTTTTTCCATTTTACATGAAAATAATTACGCAGCGAAGAAACCCTTTCTCCACATTCTTGCCCTCATCTCCTTTCCCGAGAAAAATGCCTTTTTGATGACCCCAAAATTTTGTTCTGGCTCCACTGTTTAGTGGGTTTCCTTTAGATTTTCAAATCTTGTATCAGTTTTGTGTGTACTATACTATAGGTTTGAGCATTCTTTTTGCAAGCTTGATATGCTAGAATAAGAATTTCTGGACATTCCATCCATGCTGAAATTTGGTGGATCTGAGATTGCATAGAAACAATTAACTCAGCAGTGGATTAGGAGTTTGACTCGGATTGCTGATGAGCTATTTGAGCAGTGGGAAACGATTGGGATCATAGTTTAGAGTGGATTGGGTTCTAATTTAAGGAGGTGAAGTGGGGTTTTGGGCTTATTGTGTTTTTGATTGGGAATTCAGATCATGGAGCATGTTATTGGTGGAAAGTTCAAGCTAGGACGTAAGATCGGTAGCGGATCCTTCGGAGAACTTTATTTGGGTATGCAATTTATGTGACCGTTTTCTTGTTTGGTGCAAAAGTTTTGTTATTTTAGTGGCATTGCGTGCTTTTTTCATTTTTTTTAACTGCTGGCTTTGGTTTTGATGTTTGACGATAATGTTGGTTTGGTTTGTCTCAGGCATTAATGTACAAACTGGAGAGGAGGTGGCTGTCAAGCTGGTATGTATGGAAATTTTGTTATTTAAATGGATGGTATTGAGCTCTTATATGTTGAAAACTACGATCGGTATTATTATGTTTCATAATGTAATTGGTTGAATTTGTCTTTGATTTGAGGTTGTGAATACCAAAAGCCATTGATTATACAAGCAAGTGGATATGACACTTGTAGCTCCATCTGGAATTGGTTGTTTGTATTAAGAATCTGAATACAGTTAGCATTCATATAGTTGCATTAGCATTTTGCGTACCCACCTTTACTTATGAGTAAATATGCATGTAAGTGCAGAACAGATTCAATACGTGCTGTTTTAAATTCAAGAAATTATAATCACATCTATTTGTAAATACCCTCTATAGTGGCTTGAGTATTTTTGTTGTCTGTGATAACGTTGCACAATTTGTGATCGTAATTTAGTATGTGATTGAGTATTACAACACTGAAGGTTATCCATGCTGGTGGAAGTAGTTGACAGATATTCAAGACAGTGGAGAGATGGGAGGAGCTAGTGGAGATGCTTTTTATGAGTGTGCATAGAATTTTGTTTGGTTTAAGTTTACCGAAGGTTAAGAAACAAATTGGGCCCCACTATGTGATTGGCTTGAAATTGAAGGTTTAGATGCTCTATGGTTATCTTGTACCCTTTATTATTATTATCCACGTGTTTAGATGGTTCTCTTTAGTAGTTAAAATCCACCTTGCACAAGACAGAGTACTTCAATCTAAACATTTTTGTTTTTGCTCCCTCAGGAATCCGTGAAGACGAAACACCCTCAGCTTCATTATGAGTCAAAGTTGTACATGCTTCTTCAAGGAGGAAGTGGGTTACTCTATAGTGTTTTTTTTTTCCTTTTCTTTTCTTTTGTAATGTGAATATTTATTTTCAAAGGCCAAACTAAACTTATGTATTTTGCAATGCATTTAGCGGGTGTACCCCATCTTAAATGGTTCGGAGTTGAAGGTGAATACAATGTCATGGTTATTGACCTGCTTGGGCCAAGCCTAGAAGACCTGTTCAACTATTGCAATCGGAAGTTCTCTTTGAAGACAGTTTTGATGCTTGCAGATCAATTAGTAAGTTATCAAATTACTTATGTCGTTAACTTGGGTGCCATGCTTATGCTCCCTTGTTATTTTCTGTAGATAAACAGAGTTGAGTACATGCATTCACGGGGATTTCTTCACCGTGATATAAAGCCTGACAACTTTTTAATGGGTCTGGGACGCAAAGCTAATCAGGTACATTTAGTCTCTAGGGTGATTCTTTTTCTAAGGGTCATCACTGTTTTCATGCGCGCATTGGAATTTTTTCGCATGAATACAGATGCATTGTGAATCCTTCATTTCTACTTAAGATTCTTTGTGGTCGCTTCCATCTGGATTCTTGGATGTTTGGGACTGAATGTCATGAGAAATAATCTTAATACCTATAAAGCCTAAAATAAGCCCATGCAAGAGTATGTGTCATGGGCATTTTTGCAGGCATGATGATTATTGTATAGATGTATCAATTTGCAAGTTCTTCTACTTTCACTCTCCCTTTTAACTTTTTGTACCACAAAATATTATTATTTAAACTCTCAAGCTCAACCCTTTAAATTATTTTCTTCACTTCCCACGGATATTATGAATTGTTTAAGTTGTCTTTTGTTGAGTTCATTAAGACTTGATGCAACTCTAGTGAACTTTCAGTGTTTCTGAGTTGAGGGCTTGTAGAAGGTGCAATAATTTAAGAGACATGATTATATATTTTTAAGCTCTAGGTTATCATATTACAGTTAATTTGATGAAATGAAAGAGTCAATTAAGTAAAAACATTTCTGACGATCAATAGTTGATTTTTATGACTTGATGTCTATGCACCGTGACAAATATATTATTTGGGCATCACAAATTACACTACAAACTCCTGTTTCCACAAGGTCGCAGCTGATTTACAGGGATCTGTACCATTTTTATGACAAAAATGTCCTTGGTACATTACGGTAAATTGATAGAAAGCTTGAAGCTCAATTGAGTAGTGGAGGAAAACATAATTCACACCAGTTCCTTCTAAAAACAATATAAATAGATATGCTTGGAAGTATAAACAGTGTATATTTAAAATGTTGAAAACAATCAAGTGAGAACAATTACCTCCCATTTATCGTACTGTGATGGAGAACTGCCTTTTGCTTGCTTTAATCTCTACTGCTTCTTTCTTAGAACACTGTCATACATCTGACATGTCCTGGCAGTATCATTGATGAGGCTTATCTTTTCCCTAACCACTCTGGATTGTTGTGGGGATACAATTACTGACCCATATCACAACTATAATGTATTTATACATTGTCTGCACTTTCTATAAAATCTGTGCTATATCACATTTATATGTTTCTTTTTCCCTTTTCATGATGACTCAAACTTAGGAAGTGAAACTCCTCTAATCTTACTATTGCTTTCATGTAGCTTAATCATCTTGCCAAGATCAAATGAAACTGAGTGCAGTACTAAATTAACTATTCACTATGGCCTCCCAACAGGCATTGAACATTTCTTTGCTCTATTTTGTTTCTGATGCAGGTATATATCATTGATTATGGCCTTGCAAAAAAGTATAGAGATCTTCAAACGCACAAGCACATACCATACAGGTATCAAATATAATGAATTATTTTGTAGTATTTTAGTTTCTCGTGGCTTCCCTTGTTTCTACTGTATCTTGCTCCCTTGATGTTCAAACACCATGTTGTAGTTTTGGTGGCTGAGGCATAGCCCAATTGGTAGCCACACATCTTATCTAAAAAGGAGGGCCTAAGTTCATATTCCCCCTCGTTTATTTTAACTGGTAAAAGGCTAGCTTTGAACTGTTGAAGCTTTCTTATATTAAAGGTTATTGGTTACACTTGCATCCAGTGTTTAAAATGATGAGCAGCTCATCTTGGGTTTCAACTGAACCAACAAAGGGACCCTTTCCTGACATCTCAGAGATATGACCTGAGATGCTGGTAAGTTAGAGATCGGTGTAAATCTGAGGCAAAAATCCTCATTTCCTTGATAGACTCCCAAAAACCCACCGAATGTCGGTAATATCGATCAAAATTTATGGGTTTTTGTTCTTTAAAATAGTGTAACTGGGAGCCAAAACAAGAATTGGGCTGAAACTGAAGATTGGGGTAGTGACAACTTGGAAACCAAGACAAACATAACAATAACTCTGAAACAAGCTTTACCTTCATTTTTTTTTATTTTTTTTATTTTTTATTTTTATGTTCTTTTTAAGCCAGAGTGAAAATGGGAGTAAATCAGGTGGCGAGATAGCAAGACTTGAGAAAATTGTAAACTGAGATTGTTCTCTCTCTCTCTCTCTTGTTGGTTTGGACCACTTGGGTATATTAGAAATATCCATAAAAACTATGAGAGGTTCTGAATTTTGTAGTTGTCAGTTGAATCATCTGGTTTGGTTTAAGATGATTATCCTTTAATTTCAGACTTTATGAATTATTAACAATTCCCTTGTTATTGATAATTATGTTATTTGAACCAAAACAAATTGTCAATGACTGACAATTATTGAACTTTGGTTCAATTCTACATCTTCTTATGTCCTTATATTCAGGGATTACATCTATCATTTAACTGAGCATCATAACTAATTAAATGACTTGAGTAGGAGCTTGAACATTGGACCAAAAATACAGATTAAAAAGGTTGTTATGGTAGGTTATTAGCTCACGTGTATTACTGAACACAAAAATGGCATTACAATTATATTACAAGTTTTAATTTCTTCCTTAAATTTTCAACAATAGGCATCTTAATGTTCATATGTTTTACAATGCTGCTATCCTTGCTGTGTTTTTATGCATCTGATGATCAAACTGTGGGGGAGAGAATTTTATGTAACCTCCTATGACTATCAAAACCTGTTCTTTTGCTTTTCTTTTTGTTTTGTTATTTTTAATGACCCAAAGTTCTCGTTGTGGCATTTCTGACAGGGAAAACAAGAATCTGACAGGAACAGCTCGCTATGCAAGTGTTAACACTCACCTTGGTGTTGGTTGGTCACCTTAAACTTATTGGAGTTGATGTTTTAGGATGAGTTTGTTTCCTGGAATTACCAATCATTTACATATATTTAATTGTGATACTAATTTTATTTGCAGAGCAAAGCAGAAGGGATGATCTTGAATCTCTTGGTTATGTGCTTATGTATTTTCTGAGGGGGAGGTTGTATTTTTGTCTGAAATGCCTAAATTACCAGTATCTTTTGTTTATTCACGTCTTCGAGTTCATTCACATGTTTAACATGGTTGTATTATTATCTGTTTCAGCCTTCCCTGGCAGGGCTTGAAAGCAGGTACTAAAAAGCAGAAATATGACAAGATCAGTGAAAAGAAGATGCTTACTCCAATTGAGGTATCATGGCTTGCTCTCTGTGTGGTGTATACCAAGACACTATATTCTCTAATGACTTCTTATACCATATTTGGTACGAATGAAGGAGTACAGTAATAATAGATAGGGAAGGATAGAAGGATAGTAAATGGAGAGGATACCTCATCGTTTGCTCTCTGTGTAGTGTATACCAATACAATGAATTCTCTAGTGACATTTCATACAATGTTTGGTACGAAGGAAGGAGAATAAGATTAATAGATAGGGAAGGATAGAAGGATGGTAAATGGAGAGGATGGCGGGGAGTGCATTTTACCCTCATGTTTGGTATACTGGCATTTTATGTAGAAGGGATGGAACTTTTCTTTTTCCCCCCAAAACCTGAAAGCAGACCAACCAAAAAAACCTTAATGAGGGGGTAAAACAGTACAACTGCAAGTTTACAGCTTGTAGCAGTCAATGCCTTTCTTTATTCCAACTTGGGGGAAGCATTAAAATGGCTGGCTGCATTTTGCTTTCACCTTTCCTCTACCTGATGAGAGACCACTTATCTTTTCTTTCCCTTTTCATTCCACTCGTTTCTTTCTTTTGCACAATCCTATTTCATGCCTCATTCTGTGATCTTGGTCGATTTTTTATTAACGGTTTACTGAATGTATATGAATTACTGATATTTTACTCTACAGGTTCTCTGCAAATCATATCCATCAGAATTCACGTCATACTTCCATTACTGCCGATCATTACGCTTTGAAGATAAACCAGATTATTCATACCTGAAGAGGCTTTTCCGGGACCTTTTTATTCGAGAAGGTTAGCTTGTAGGCTCTTTAAGCCCAAATTTTAATGTATATGTCATGAATGCATTATTCTTTAACCTTCATGATGAATCTAATTGGCAGCTCTTAAATAATGTTGAAACCTAATTGGTCTACTGATTGTACTTGGTGCAGGATATCAATTTGACTATGTATTTGATTGGACTATATTGAAGTATCCGCAAATTGGCTCCAGTTCTAGATCACGAGTCAGTACTTAATTTGTTGGGGATTTTCTATGTAAAGAAGAAAAAATAAATCTTCAGTTTTCTGTGTGTTTGGGCAATGATTCTTACTTTATCTGAATGTGTTTTCTTCTAGCAGTCAAGTGCAAAACCAGCTTTAAACCCTGGACCATCCGCAGAAAGAACAGAAAGGCCTTCAGGTTTGTTATTTTCTCAAGCAAGGCTTGAATGCATCGGTTTTTAAACATTTATATGCTGATATAGATTTTTACAATTTCTTTAATATGGGTCATGGATCAGGATTCTCAAGTACGGCTTTTGCTTTTGATTTCTATTTTCATTTTTCAAGTGCTGGGTCTATCTGTTTATTTGTGTTCCCCTATGTATTCACATGGCAGTGGGTCTACTGGACTTTGTTTAATTAAATGGATATTTTTAACATTTCATTTTAGTTCTTGTTTGGTATGGAGAAGGCGAATAAGGCTTTACTACTGTTTTAGTAAGATATATTTTTATGTTTTTAGCAGTGGCACAAGATTTTCGAGATAGATTCTCAGGTGCAGTTGAGGCATTTTCTAGAAGGAATAGTTCTGGTCATGGTTATGGTGATCACTCGAGACATAGACTGACTGATGATGCACCGTCGTCCAAAGATGTGGTGAGTGTTTCCAACATTCTCATGCCTATTGTTTGTAAGCTGGTTTATGTCTTGTATTATGTCTTCAAATGATTTAAATGCTTATTATTTCCTTAATGGAGCCTAATGCAGTTGCATGTTTCTTGCAGCAACCTGATTCGGACAGGGCTCGTAGTTCATCTAGAAATGGCAGTACCTCAAAGAGGCCTGTCGTATCAAGCAGCCGGCCAAGCTCCTCCGGTGAGCCTAGCGAAAGTAGGTCAAGCCGGCTGGTCTCAAGTAGTGGTCGCTTGTCCACCGCCCAAAGGATTCAACCTGGGTATGATTCCAAAACATCTTTCACCCGAACTGCAGCCGCAAGAGGCGGCCGTGATGATACGCTTCGGAGCTTTGAACTCCTTTCAATCGGCACGGGAAAGAGGAAATGAAGCCTGATCCATCTGATAAAATGCTTGTGTCAAGATTCCTTTTGTAGTATCTATCAAAGATGTCAGCACTATAATGGTTTTACAAGAGTTACTCTGTATATGTGTATCCATTGTTGGGTTCATTCACAGTTGAAAAGCTCAATGAAGTTTCACCTTAGAACTATCCCTGTTTCACCATCTTCATGGATTCTTGCCATTCTGATGCATCGGAGACTCACCCAAGAAAGAGATTTAACCATCTCACTTCAGGGAGTTGTCTATATATTTGAGATACTGGTAGCTGTAATAAATACGTCTTTCGTGATTTTTCTTCTCCAGAAGATAATGACTTTACTTAAAATACGTACCTTGAGCTGCTTCATGTGCATTATTTTATGATCTATGTTTGTTTGTTTGTTCCCCCTTCCCCATTGTTTATTATCTAAATGGAAAACCGGGTGCAATTTTCGAAACATGGCTTTTAGTCCACTTGGCATGGATTTGGAAAAGTTTGCTTCTGTATCTTTCTTGCTATATTTGGTTTAGCTGTCATTCATGTTAAATTTCCCTTGTGCTTAGCAGTTAGTCGTAAGTAAATGAGAAAAAGTCACGCACCAGAATGTAGATAATTGAGTAATCGCACTCTGTTACTAATGAGCTATTGATTTGATGATATTTTTCTTCCCAATGCTAAATCAGGTTTATAAGCTTGAATTCCCTTTCTCCCATTGATAAAAGGTACACTACACACGTCACAACATTAAAAAGGAGAGAATAAGAATCTATCCGTTATCATTCGGCCCCATAGTTCGTACGTAGAATTAGTATGTTCTCTCTTTTGAATGATGTATGCTATGTGCTAGTTTAGTTCAATGGTTCCTAAATTTATCCACTAGTTATATTTTAGGCAAAATGAAACTTTTGGTTCTTGTGGTTTACCACTTTTATTACAAAGATTCTTGTGATTTCAATTTGATTATTTTTGCCCTTGTGGTTTTCAATTTAAGCAATTTAAGGATAATCTCCGATTTATGTTAAATTAGAGTAACTGCCATTACTTGTTCAAGGGCATTTCGGGTCCCAAAACAGAGGCTGCAAAAAACAAGAAAGGAGAAAGAAAAGGACACTGATCCCCAGACCCTTAAGCAATGGCTCCTCAAACCATCACCATGCCCGTAATGCCCGAATCGTCGTCGCCCTAGTCCCATGCGCTGCCTTCCTCTTCGACCTCGTCGGCTCGTCGGTGATCGCAACCCTAGGCTTCATGGTCTCCTACATCGTCGACATCCTCATCTTCAAGTATGTTGCCTTCTTCGGCGTCTAGCTCTCCCTCGTCTTCTTCAGCTACTTCCTACTTGCCACTTTCACCTCCTAACCCCTTGCAGCCCTTGCCGCCTTCCTCTATGCCGAGACAAATTTCCTCATTGGCGTCTAGGTCTCACTCTGGTTTAAGTGGATTCAAATCAAGAACTTCCGATCATTCTCGTTCTCCTCTTCGTCGCCTCCTCCCTCTGCACTTAGGCCCACCATCTTTACCACCCTACCTTAGCCACCAACTTCCCCTTGCTTGGGCCCACGATCCCCAACCTTTGTTTTTGGACTGAAATGTCCTTCAATAAGAATCAACAATTACTCTAATTTGACAGAAATTGGATATTTTCATTGATTTGCTTAATTGAAAACCAAAGGGATAAGAATGATCAAGGACTTTAGTGGTAAAAATGTTAAACCACAAAGATCATAAGTGACTTTTTGCCTATATAATTAGGCCCCGTTTGGAATTGTTTTTTTTTTTATTGCCAAAAACCTGCTTCACTTTAAAGTTAAGCAGTCTAAGGTAGGCCAGCAGCATCTAGGTTGCTTTTCAAGGTGCTTTAAAAAAAAAACAGAGATGAGTGTTTAATGAATTTTTTTTCAATTCCCATAATAGCATCATTAATTTTTATAAATGACATCGTCTACCACCTCTACTCCTACCACCTCTACTCCTACCACCGCCTTTATCATTTGTTTGGGCCTAAAAAGAATTCATATGCCAGCCCACTTCTCACAGAGAAGCCTAGGAACAGGGAAATAGAACACTAGGCTTTGATTCCAAAAAGAGAAAGCCCAATCCACATCAGAAGCCCACGTCTTTTATGAAATGTCAGATTTATAAAAACGTCTAAATTAGATGGCAATCGACCACTAAAGCATATCGATAAAAAACTAAAAGAAGAATTGGATTGGGCCTAGCTTCTAAATGCTCACCATGGATCACAAAGCCCAGAGTACAAAGTCAGCAAACTTTTGAAAGTCTATTCTCAGAAAAACTCACGTGATTACCTGACTTGGAAAAGTCAACAATTTCAACTATCACAGAGAAACTAGCAGATAATTAATGAAGGCAGGTATAAAAAGAAGACGTCTCTGAATCTCTGCAAACAAAAGATCGAAATCCTTTTCTATATAATTCTGCATCAGGACATGCATTATTTCCAAGGGATAAGCAGACTACATTTTCTAAAAAGATAAGTAGGATGCAGGTAGTTGTTCATCTGGAAAATCAAACCAACCATTACGGCATATTGAACTCTTATAAAGAGAAATCAGAGGGCAAAAGAGATTACGGTTTTCTTTCAAAAAGCAGAGAAGTGATCACCATAAAGAACTAACTGTTGATGGTTCTTCTCTGCCAGAACAAATAACTTCCCTTTTTCTTTGCATTTAAAATAAAAAGATCTTTCTTTTGGAAAATTTGCCACCCATTATTAAAAGTTTAGAAGCCCCATTCTAGCATTTTCTATAAATATGAGAGGAGGTGAACAAATCAGACAGCCAAAAAATCAATTAAAAAACAAAAACTCAAAATGATCACTTGATCTCAAAAACCTTCAAAACACTGAAGCAACCAATAGCTCATTGAGCCACAAGAAACAAGTCAATTGCAATCCAGAATCTCTAACTTCAGTTCAGTTTCAGAGAAATAGTCATTCAAACTGAGATTTCTCTCGTTACAAATTTGGTTTAGTATAAGCCAAATCAAGCAGAGTTCGGGTTTTACAAATATGAAAACCTCAACAAATTTATGAAGAGCCCTGATCAAGTAGAACAGGTACTACAGTGTAATTCCAGCTCAGTAATCATCAAATCCAACCACTTTTGCCCCTTCCAGACTAAAGATGTCCCAATTCTGCCCGTTCAAAAAGCCTTCCAGGGCTTGAAATAAATTAAAGCTCTGCCAAACTCGAACGTTGGTATCGATTTATAGCTGAAACTTGACAGTTGAAGGTGTTGATAGTCCAGTCCAGTACAGACATATCCAATCCAACCCGGATCAGAAGCATTTATCAAGGCATAAATTGAAGTCCAGCCCTCTTTTTGTCTTTTTAGAGTTGGTCTTCCATTTTGAGCTTTGTAAAAGGCAGTTCTGCCTAAAGCAGTCCACTTTCTTATCATTTATTCTAGCCAGAACTACTAGTTTTTGTACTGTGAAAAATTGTGAAGTCCTTATCAATTTGAGGCAAGAAAAGAACTTACTTGGGAGATATTCCTCACCCAAATTCACAATCGCTTGTTTAGAAATCAGTAACTTGGGCCGCCAGTTATCTACTTTTAAGAAGTCTGCTAGGATTTTCATTGCTAGCAGTGACACGCTTACACACCAAAGAAAGTTGACTTGTTGACCAGTCAATGGTTTTCGAGACAATGGGAAACTTTACCCTATCATCACATGAACAAATATAAAACGAGTGAACATCACCACCACCACCACCACCTCCACCGCTATCTCCACCTCCACCACCACCTTCATCTCCACCTTCACCTCCACAACCACCACCACCTCCACCACCTCCACAACCATCACCACCACCTCCTCTTCCATCTTTACCTCCACCTTCGTCACCACCACCACCACCACACATGATTAGCACATAACACATTATGTTTATTTTAGTAATTATTTACAATTTCAATAGTTTTATATAAAAATTTACCAAACAGTTTGGACACTCTTTTTTATACTAACATCACTTTAAAAATATTGTTAATCAGACATGAAAATGCTTTTCTTTACATCTTATTATTTTCAAAGGACAACATAAGCTGCTTTTTTAAAAAGTGATAGCAATCCCAAATTGACTTTTAATTCCTGAATTCGTTTTTTATTAGGTCATATATTCCAAATAACTTAATATGTTTCATATTAAAGAGGATTGCTAATTAGGGGTGGCAACGGTTCGTTTTGGTTCAATTTAAGGCTTAAATCATAAATCAAATCAACCATGTTGGTAATGATTTGGCAAAACCGTAACTAATATAATTGGTTTAGGTCGGTCTGATTTATCGAGATTCTCGAATTGGTTTGGTGGCTATTCGATTTTTAATCCACACTCATTTTCAAATTATTTTTATTGTTTTAAAGCCCAAAATTAATAGGCCGAAACACCTATATTTTGGTCCTTAGGTTTTAAAATGCTAATTTGCAATACAACTTTTATACATATTTTTTTTCAACTTCCAAATCAACCTAATGACAATTGTACTAGCATTATCAATTCCAAATAAAATAAAAAAAAAAAAAAAAAAAAAAAAAAAAAAAAAAAAAATTCAATTAAACTATAGTACTCAGTAATATAAATAAACAATTGTCCCTCTCAAAAAACAACATAAAAAACAATTTCCATATTGGTAGTTTGGCTTTTTCAGTACAAATGCTAACGAGTCTGTTTTTTGTGTTCATATAAATCCCCTTTTATTAACTGGTTGACATGACACGACTCATTAAGTTAACAAGTAAAAAATACTAGATACAACATGACTGTTAAAATAACGAATGACACGACACGACACGACCTGTTTCACTTGTTAATTTTTAAAATTTTTAATTTTTTAATTTTTAAAAAATCAACCATAGAAGAAGAGTTGGGGGAAGGAAGAAGGAAGAGAAGAAAGAAGGAGAAAAGACAAAAAATAAGCTACATAAAATTACAAAACTACCCATACTCAACGGATATTCGTGAATTCACAAAACATGACTCGTTTAACGGGTGGCTAATAGGTCAAACTGTTTTCAACATGACCCATTAAGCCCTGACTTGAATACTAATTTTTTTTCCATAAGAAATCGTGTCGTGCTAACGGGCGTGTACAATATTGTAAAGTCTATGGTATGACCAATCAGTACATTTGTCACCGTCAGAGTTTAGTTGTAATTCCTATACCTTCCTTACATAGGTGCTCAAATAATGAAGTGGCTACATTTTTAATTAAAGAGGTAACCTTTCTTGGCCGAAGCAATTAATTATCTACTAAATTAGCCATATGCATTTTGCATAATTACAGTGCCATAGTGTGTTATGACAACTACTTTGCCCACACGAGATAAACACAACTCACAAAATTAATTCAAGTTTAATTACATTGCTTTAGATGTGTGCTAATAATTATCCAGGTGTGTGCTAATAACTATCCATGGATATGGTTACATATATATTATGACAAATCAAGTCTTTCTTTTCATATATGGAAGGATATCCTATATGAGAATACAGGCAATGCACACATTGTTTTTCTTCCTGAAAAGGATATAGTTGAAAATTTAGCAGCGGAGAAAAAGGAAGGTCATTGAAAATTTTGCATAAATTACCAAAAGTGAAAGAAAATAAATATTATAACGAGATGGCAGGAAAAATAAAAGATGACAGAAAAATTATAATCAAATTAAGAATTAATTTATTTTCTATTGTCTTTGTAATTTCTTTAATGCAATATCTAGAAATTAATGCACTCTTCTGGCCTAGCCCATAGATTTCTTAATAAAAACACTAGCATCTTTTCTATATCTTCCTTTCCTCTCATTCATTAACCTTCCTTTTTGAGCACAACACTAGGGTTTTGTTTTGGTAACAAATTCATGAGCACCATATGAGTCAAAGTTTTTTCCTGAAAAATGCATTAACTTTCTGAATAGACAACAAAATCCAATTTGGCAATCATGAATGAGTTGCATGCAACTACAAAGTAACACACTTTTTAGAAATGGGAATGAAAACCACCTATAAATTCCTTCATGCTCCAAGGCTATTTGTGCACCCCATCATTCCTAGTTTGCCTTGAGGCTCCAAACAAAAAACAAAAAAACCCCTAGAACCCTCTCCAGCATTTTCTTCTCATTCTTCAAACTGGGTTTCTCAAACTCAATAACCATGTCTGGCTGCAACTGGAACATGAGGCATGGTGGAAATGTGCATGGTTCGAACTGTGCCCCGGCATCGATGCCGAGTGGATCAACAGAAATTGCATGTAGAATATGTGATCGTGTTTTTATGAGCACCCAAGCCCTCATAAACCACATAGAGTCTCACATAGTGGATGATGGCCTCACAGCCTCAAGATTAAGGCAGCTCACTCAGCAAACCAACACTAACCCTCCGATCCGAAGCAATCCTGTATTTCCATTGTCAAACCCTTTTAATCAACGAAACCCTTTCCATGATGTTCATAATAACCAAATTGGTTTTGCACCGCCGCCGCCTCATCATCAATATCCATATCCACCACAACAACAACTTTCTCCTTATGCACTGCCAAGAAACGTTAACGTTAACGTTAACCAGGGAGTTGTTGGGTCGCATTACATGGTGATGCAATCTGCTAATGAAACCGCGGCGCGCATGGCGAGTGAGGAGGACGATCTTTCCAGTGATTGCACCATGCCGCTTCTCAGTCAGCTGGATCGCCCTCTTCCGCCTGTGAATTATGAATTGGACCGTCGTGGAAACATTGGTGAAGCAAGTTCAGATAATCTGGATTTGACCCTGAAGCTCTAGGAGCATGAATAATTATTAATTGTAGCCGTTTTTCTGAATTCCCAGCCTAGGCGTAGGACTAATTCTTGGCTGCAACCGGTTGTATGCGTCCTGCTTTGATTTAAAATAATAATAATAGAAGATGGAAGTTTTTTCTTTCATGAAGTTCTCTTGCTGTGTACTTCCAATTATTTTGCCATTAGATTTTTACAACTGTCCTTCCGTGTCACATCAAATGCACCGGTGTATTGCACTTTTTAGCCATTGAATTAAAAAAAGTTAAAATCCGGCCGTTGATAAAACAATGTACCGATACATTGGATCCCAACATACATACACATTCATAAGTGAATGTGCCAATATTTCACTATTTCCTTTCTTTTTTTGGAAATAAGATATTGTATTTATATTTGCGTTGTTAATACTATCCTTGCGTCCGAATAGAGATTGTTTTCGGATTTAGATTTTAGGATTTAAGGGTTAAGACTTATATCACAGTGAGAATTAAATAGAAACCATATAGACATGGGCAGTTAATTTTAACAAGAAACACTAAATTTTTTAAAGAGATAATCCAAATTCATTTCTTTTATGGGTGAAAATTAAACCACCTTAAATAAAATAGTTTGGCCTTACCAACCAAAATAAAATAGTCTTGTATGAGTGCTTATATATATCCACCCCTGTTTCCTATTCATCCCATTACTTTTTCCCTAAACACCATTGAGTTTTTCTTTCAAAAGAAGATTACTTGAAACAACTCTTGTATTCCAAAAACTTCCTAACATCCTAACCCTAATTTTTATTTTGATAACTATAACCATATAAATCAGGCACCATGCATGGTAAAGCAAGGCCACCACCCAATTAATTCTTTTTATTTTTCTCCCGTTTAGATTGTTTTACATAAGGAAATATTTGTTATTAATTTTACTAGTTCATATAAACAACAATTATACCGCTTTGTGCAATCCAAGAAAAGAAGCAACTAGCTTACACTAGTAGTTTCACATAATTTTACATTGCTTCCCATTTTCTAACTTGTTCATCGTCAAAATTCGGACCAATGAGTCACTCATTGACTTCCCTAATTTAAACCCTAAACGACATTGTAACTAATGTTTAGCTCCACTATTATATGGTTAAATGTATACAAAATACTAACAGCTGCTTTGGTTTGAATAGTCAGACTTTGGGGTGTAAGTTGGATTGGAAAATTAGATTTCAGTCCAAAAATTTCTAATTTTGGCAAGTCCAAATCAATTTCAACATCCAAAAGTTCCGAAAAAGTTAGATTGGAATTGGAATGTATCTCGAAATTCTGAATAATTCTGAATTTCGAAATATATTGGGGTTTCAAGCTTAGACTACATATACAAGTACTAATTTCATGTTGAACTAAATATAATTTAATGACCAAATAGATATAGACAAGTTATTACATAAAGGATACCAACATCCATGTACTAGAATATAATAGTTTTTCAAGTGTTTGTATGAGTTTAAAATTTTGAGCCAATTCTAATAATTCAAATGCTTGAGCATGTTTAAAATTTTGAACTAGTTTTCGAAATTATCTAAAAAAATCCTAAATATATACAAGTTCAGAAAATTCTGAGTTTTCCTAATCGGACTGGATATTGAAATTCCAAAATATTTTGGAATGGAATTGGAATAGAATTTTCATTTTAAAATTTTTTGGATTGGAATTGGAATCCCTTGATATGTCTGAAAATCAGTCCTAACTGCTGGCCACGTCAGTAAAATGACGTAGTGTGTCGAGTCAAAGCTTATTCCTCATAACGCCTAAGGTCACGTGACCCATGCGAGATAAAATTCAGACTTGAATAAATTGCCATAAATTTTTTCATTGCACCCCAGATTTGCAACAATAAATATGAGTTACCTACTACCATATTATAAACAGAGCCTACTTTACTATCTTGCGGAAATTTACCTCATACAATCTCTCTCAATTTTCACCTCATACAATCTCTCAACACCAACCCTCCCCACCCACCCTCAGTTAGATAGCCTCACCAATTCCCTAAGTTGAAAAATGAAGTATTGCTGCTACAAATTACTTGCATCCCTGCTCTTGTTTTTCCTTTCAGTTTTGCAGCCTTCTTCAAGCCTGTTTCTCCCATTACCCGTGTACGGCTACATCACGACCTCCTGGTACCACGATATTTTTCTGTCGAAGGAGGGTCATGATCCAGTGGAAAACCCAGAAAGCTTATGTTCCATGTGTAACAGTGTAGTCCAAGGGGGCATTGAAGTCCTATATCTTCACTATTTAGCTTCACACTTAGAAGACGAGGGCATGACTTCTCAGATGGCCGGACAAAACCTTCATCCAAACACCTCATCTTCTCCATCCCAGCCCCTTGTTCCTCCTCCTCCTTCTCCAGTAAACCTCACCCAAATACCCTCCACATCTGCCAGCACATCAAACCCTAGCAACCCTTTGCTGGGTTTGAACAGAAAGCCCCTCTTGCCTGTCCAAAACCAAGCACCGCAGAGAGATCAGTTGGCTTTGAATAACCCAAACCAGGCTGGTCCTTCTAGTTCTTCTGTTATCCGACCCCAAAGGCCTCATCAAGAACAAGGGGTCAGGATCAATAATGATGGGCAGGTACCACAACAAAATTCACCTCCTGTGATCCAGTACATGTACATGCGGCAGCGTCGGAGAGGAAATGAGCATCAAGGGGCCCTTAGTAACCAGCCTGCCCAAGACGTCATTGATGTGGGCAGTGATTTTGAAGAGGGAAGCTCAGATAGTGAAGACATCGATTTGGATTTTGGCATCTGAGAATTGTGAGATGAGATGAAGGATATATACATGTTTATGGTGTAATATACTAGTTGGATTTGGGTAGCCTTCTTGTTATTTTCGATATATGTATTTTTCTTCTGAGTAAAGTGGCGAATTTTCCTTGTCGCAAAATTAAGGTTAGTTCTAGTTATCAACCTGGACAACTAAAAAAAGTTGGAGAAAACTATGAGCCCAGATATTTTTAAAAAAACTATAAATATAAAACTTGACCGTATAATATAAAATTATTTTCAACATAAGAATGATATGGTACCATATATTGTTAATTTTATATCAAAATCATCGTGTATTTTGAGGAAGTAGCTAACAAAAATATATATAAAAACATTGTTATCCTTATAACTCATTGCATGAAAACAAAGTTAATATATAGGTATTCTGGGATCTTGAGCTTCTGCATTTAGGCTCCGTGTATTTATCTGCATTTCGGTAAATCTAAGCCACTCAAACAATCTCACTACTTAACATACGATATGTCATCTAACTTTTAAATTCTATTTTTATTTCCAAAACTCATGTAAACTCTAACCTTAATGGCGTTAAGGTGTAGTGTAGATCTTGGATGAAGCAGTAGTTTATACAGAAGATAATTGTAAATTCTACAAATTAATTAAATAATAATAAACTACTGCTTCAAGATGTTACATTTTATTGAAAAATACTCGCAATTCATATGTATTTCATAATGTAATAAAAACACGCATAATTGAAAATTATTTTATTTTACTTTTCATAATGGGGTAAAGGTTTAGTGAGGATCTTGGACGAAGCAATTCATCTTATTTTTTCCATTTATTGACAATTATGCATGTTTTTATAACATTATGAAATACATATGAATTGCGAGTATTTTTCAATAAAATGTAACATCTTGACCCAAATTAATTATTATTTAATTAATTTGTAGAATTTACAATTTTGCCCTTGGAGGGTAGGATCATTTTGGTCACTTTTTAATCTGGTAGGATTTGGGAGAATTGAATGGCACAGTTGCATAGAGCCCGTCGATATGAGTTCGTAAACACGTAGTGGGCTCAAATCGGAGTTTTAACGAGGAAGTTGTGATCTATGGAACTGCAGTGGCATAATCGTAATTTAGGAGAATTCAAAATTTAAAATACCACAAGTCAGACCTTCCCACGCCTGTACTTGGTGAGTCGCAAGTCTGGTCAGTTCAAGTCCCACAAATATTCTCTTCATTCCCCCACATAAAGTCCCACAAACTCATCATAATTCCCAAAACCCGTCAGAACCTCATCCAAAGCATCAAAGTACTGAGCTCAAAACGAAATAGTTCCTTCTTCAGACCTGTTCATCTGCCTCTCTAGCATAACATATCCGAAAATTAGCCCAATCGGAGAAATATAAACACCTCAAACCGCAGTTGGAGGACGAATAGCTCATCTCTGTCTGGTACTATGTGTTATGCACGGATTTGCCTTCGCATGCGAGTTTCTGTTGCGATTTTAACCTCTATTCCTTCACGAAAGTTGCTGCTGAGGTTGAGAGCTACAAACCTCAAGACAATTGGAGATGTGTATCTACCTTAAATCGTGTTCAAGTTGAGACTAGTGTTCTCTTACTTCCTGTTTGCTAGTTCCACACTAGCTAGTGTGAACATATCCACTCTTGCATGCAGTGGCGGAGCCACAGTGGGGTCGTACAACCTCTTGGAACCCATGGAAATAGGCTTTAGAGGTCCCTTGGAGCTAGAAGAGAGACCCCTTGGAGCTGCACACCAAGTGTTCGACGTTTTTCCTGAGAAAGAAAGAAACTGTGCGAGGAAGAAGAAGCGTTGCTGTTTTTTTAAAACATCCTAGGCAAAACGACGTCGTTTTGACCCAGGAATTTTTAAAAAGATGGTCTGGCCCAACAACTCCCCCCAAAGTCCAAACCCACCCAATACCTCCATCCATTGCTTTCAATCATACAACCCTTCATATTGGCCAACCCAATACCAAATCTGGAAAATATTGGCCAGCGTTTAGTATACACCTCTGCCCAACAACCCTTCGTATTTCCCATTTCATTGGGTCGTCTTGTCCACTCTCTAGAGTGGATAGTGGGCTTCATGAGACAAAGATTTATGAAAAACCAAAAATACTTAAATAAATGTAATAAAATACCATATCTCTGCTCCCTTCAACTCTCCTAAAATCCCCACATTCTATTATTCTCTACCCTAAGTTCCCAACTAAATCTCCCCCCCAAACCCTCAACATGGCTGAAAATTTTATTCTCTTCCCTCTCTATCTCTGATTTTTTAAATTTATTGTTCTTGGTATACTTAAACCTTTGTGTTACATTCTTTTGTTTGATAATAATGTCTAATATTTTTATTGGATAATGATTTATTGGAATGGATGAATATTGATGATTTTGTGTGTATCGATTTATTGGATTGGATTGATTATTTGATTTGTTGGAATTTAGGGGTTATGATTAATTTTGTGATGGACTTCTTGTCCTCTCTCTGTTTGTTCATTTGTCTTAATAAAATTTTATTTCTTTTAAAAAAAATGGTTAATTGTTTGGTTCGATTAATTCATGTGTAGAATTATAGAATGCTAAGCAGAAAGTACTAGAAAATTATCTTTTAGTAGTGTTACTTTCATCTTTAAAAAAAATATCGAAACTTTTATACTAAGACCCCTTGAGATAACTATCCTGGATCCGCCACTGCTTGCATGTAGCCTTTCTCTGCTCTAATGGAATATTACCCTTCATCAATGTTGTTCATCTATGTCTTGGTTATAATCTGTCAAAATTGGAGCTTCATCCAATAAGTATAGCCATCTCAAGATGTGTCTAAGTGTAACATTTTCATCCTTGTCTGATCTGTTGATGTAGGCTCGGATTCTATCTTACATGTCAATTTTCCTTGCTCAGATGAGAAAGGTTCCTTAACAAAAGTTGTTGAGAATTCTGTCATCTACAATATATCCAAAATTCATAGTCATCCAACAAGCTTAGACCTATCAGAAGTGGTACAAAGTGGAACAAGCTTCTTTGTTTTCAAGTGTTGTTTTGGGGGTTGTTCTTCTTGGGAGGTGAATTGAGGATTTCAGACCAATTCAAAGGAGCGAGGCGTAAAGAATCACTCTGGACGAAACCGCGGAGGGTTAATTGTGCTTTGGACCGTGAGTGAGTGAACATTTGTTTTCTAAATAGTTTTAAGAAATTCTTGAACTGTGGTCATTAATTGTTTATTTTATGGATTTGATAATTTATGATTTTCAGTTTTCTAAATAGTATTTTATGCATATTCGAATTTAGTTTGAGAACGGTTCTGAAGGATTTGTCATGGTTGAGTTTAGTTAATGAATTGTTTATAGTGTTTACTTTCTAAGCGTTAGATTTTGGTTGAAATGATTTTTATTTAGTTTATTCGTGGTTTAGTACTTGAGGTTGATATTAATATGATTTAATTTTACAATATTTTTCTGGAGGATTTATAAGTGGTAATTATGTGAGTTTGTTGATTAATTATTTAGTAAGGATTTTATTTGTGGGTTTTTATTCAGTTTTACTTCAAGAATGTTTTGATAAGTTTTTATTGGTTGGAAATCAAGATAGTGAAATTTGGGTTTATTTAACGGTTTAAAAAGGGGGTTTCATTTATTTAATTATTTATTGATGCATACTTGAAATTTTGAATGGTTTAGAAAGGATTTGGGTAAGAGTTTGGAAAAGGGATTTGTGAAAAATGGAGTTTTTATATTTAAGTGTTGAGAAGTGGATTTCAAACCCACCCTAGGTACCCATCCCCCGTTGCCTTTGAAATATATCGGTTGCCTTCGGTAAAGTCTGTGCACATGACTAGGATTGCATGTACCTACATAGAGACTACTCTGTAGGTGTGGGGCCATAGTATATCGCATGTACATGTGTTGAGGTGTCCGGCCAGTGGTTTGCTTGTACCTATAGTAAGGTTATTCTGTAGGTGTCTGGCCAGTGAATTGTCTGTACCTGTTTATGTGGGTGTCCGGCTAGGATTTTCCCCTACAACCCTGCTGATATACTACACAAGGTTGACCAGTTTTCCTCATAGGTATACTTGGGTGGAGAGTTTTTGTATGAATTGGATTGAGACTAGATTTAAGATGATTTGTATTTGAGCTTGCTTGATTTATTGAATTCAAAGAATGGTTTGAAACTTAATTTTTGTTGAATTATATTTTGAGGATACTCGATGTATTGGATTTAAATGTTGTTTGAAGTACAAGATTTGGGTCAATTGTATTTTACTTACCAGTTAATTCTGAGTTTATTTTACCTACATATGTATTGATTATATTTTGTTCATGTACGTATACTTGCATGTGTATTAGTGAGTTTTCCAAAGGTTTGCGAAAACAACGGGGTTAGTATGTTCTATATAATTACTTTCAAGAAAAACTTTCTTTTTGTCCACTCACGCTTTTACTGTTTTGTGCCCTTAGGAAGTAGATAGCTCAGAGTTCGGACGATCATGTAAGCTTCCGACGTCGGCGAAGTCCTTATAGTTCTACCTAGTAGGAAACTTTATTTTCTGTTTTCGTTGTTAATTTGGAAACTAACTTTGTAAATTTAACTCCAGTAGTTGCTCTGATATTTTCCACTTAGGACTGAATTTGAGGCAGGAGGCCATGTGAAATTTGTGTGTGCCTTATCTTGTGTGTGCTGCTAGTTGGGATTATTAGATTGTCGTTGTTGCAAGTGTTAATTTGGGAAAAGTCAATTTTTCAGGGAGACTATCGAAATTTCGATAGAAGTTTCGACCCATTTTTTTCTTAAAAGTACAGGTGAGAGGTGTAAAGTTAGTAGTGGGTCCGGCATTGTTCCGGTATCGAAATATGTCACAAGATTCGACATGAGTTTAGAGGAGGAATTCGGGTAGGGTCCTATCATAAAAGATACATAATTTTGTCATTATGTATATTGTACACGTATTTTGTTAACGCATCAGCCTTATAGCGATAAGATATATGGAAAACCGTTTGTACTCTTGCCTTCGAGAAGGTACTATATTTGTAATTTTGTTATGTACAATGCATATTGTATATAGTTCTTTTGGCAAGTGTAGAGAGATATAGATTCTCCGTTGTCCTGGTATTATTTGATTTTAAAAAAATTAATATAAATAGGTAATTTGTATCTAGTCAAAATTTTAATTTGATTTTAAAAAATTGAACAACAAAAAGTGATATAACTAATTCCTTTTACTTACGGAAAAAGTTTTTATTTTTATTTTTTATACAAGTGATATTTTATTTTAATATAATATAAACTATGGGAATGAGGATTCAAACTTGGGTGCAGAGTGGGGGCACATCTGCTCTATTCAACTTGGCAAAGCCCATGTCTGCAAAAAGAAGGAGATGCAAGACGAGGACTTCCCAAAAGGTTTACGGAAAAAGTTTTTGAATGTGTATTAACATTACAAAAAATTCTAGAAGGTTTACGGAAAAAGTTTTTGAATGTGTATTTAAAAAAAAAAAAAAAAAAAAAAAAAAGCAAAAATCTCCTGACAAACATATTAGGGTAAATTAATCAAATGGTCCTCAAACTTATACTCGATTTACATTTTAGTCCCTCAATTAAATTATTAGTCCAAATGGTACATAAACTCTATTTTAATCGCCCATTTGATCCAACCGTCTAATTTTCTGTTAGATTTAACCAAATTTTAGGGTAAATATGACTTTTCATAATTAACAAATGAAATAGGGTTAAAACAAATAAAAAATTATCAAATAATTGAAGAAAAAGAGAAAGAAAAAAAAAACCCAACTCCCCTGCCCCCCTTCGATTTCTTCTCCCCCATTCCCACAGACCTCTCCATATGGGTATAAATCCCCAAAATCCTCGCAGCAATTTTGGCGTCTTGGAGGGTGAGAAATTGACAGTGGCTGTGATTTTGGGAGGTGGGGTTGGTGGGTGATGAGGTGGGGAGGAGGGTGGTGGGTGGTTGTCTCTCAACAACAAAGGGAAATCAAGGGGGATGGGAAGAGGGTCTAGTTCGTTGTTGAATTGGGGTTTTGGGTTTGTTGTTGAATTGGGGTTTTGGGTTCGTTGGGAGGGGTCTGTGGAAGAAATTTTTTTGTTTTTTTTCTCTGTAGTTGCTGGCTCGGTTGGAAGATGGGGATGAGTTAGGGTTCTGGGTTCATGGGGCCTGGGATGGAGCGTGGTTGTTGGATGGGTTTAGGTGGAGAGTGGTTGTGGGATGGGTTTGGGTGTTTGAGCTTGACGGTGGTGGTCATGGGGGAATGGAGAGAGAGAGAGAGAGAGAGAGAGAAGGAACACAATCTTCAAAACCTTCCCTTGTGGAACACAATCGGCTTTATTTCAACACTGGTACTGCACGTGGGAGTTTCAGAGCCTTTATATTACTGGATGCATAGACGTTTCCATGGCAACTACTTTTTTGAAAACTACCATTCACTTCACGATTCCTCTCCTCTCCAATACCACAACCCTTTACAAGCAAGATAAGAGCACAGACTTACAAATTCTTTCTTTTTTTTCCCCCTCTCTTTAGTTATTTTGACTGATTAATTTATTAATTATTTTTGTTCAGCTGGAAGTGCAACACTTCTGGAGCATTTGGTTTTAAGTGCAATTGTTGGAATTCCAGTTCTTGGTACCACTCTGATGAGAGAGAGAGAGAGAGAGAGAGAGAGAGAGATAGATAGATTTTATTTCATTTTTCAATATTTATTTATTTTTAACATACAAAATGACCAATTTGCCCTCATATTTAACAGCAACATTGACAAAATGTAATGGTAGGACCAATAAAGCGATTAAAATATAGTTAATGTACCATTTTGACTAATAATTTAATTGAGGGACCAAAATGTAAATCGAGTACAATTTTGAGGACTATTTGAGTAATTTACCCTACATATTATTTGTCGGGAGAGACCACTTTCCGCGGCAAAAAGTATACTTTGTCGTCCAAGACATGGCCCGAAACCACCAAGTTGGTTTATGCTGGCGAATATTTTGTCAGCAAAAATCTTTCTCGAATCCCGACGAATTTTGTTATTTCTCAATAAATTTTAATCTGGAAGGGTCTTTACAAATTTCGTCGGGATAAACTTTTCCCGGCAAATCTTGTTCTCCGTCGAAAATTTGTCGTCTTTCCCAACAAATTTTCGACGAGATCAACTTTTTCCAACATATTTTTGTTGAGACAGTTAAATTTTGAATAGGATAGACTTTTGTTGATAAATTTTCGTCGAGGACGATCTATCTTGGCGAATTTTGTTCTTTCCTAGGGAATTTGCCGAAAAAGACAAATTGTTTTGTTGAGCAATTTTTGAAAAATATAATTAGTAATGTAAGTAACTCCTTTTTATTTGTTATATGGAATAAGTACTACACTACGTACACATGTATTAAACAATTTTTGAATTGCATATTTTTCTCATATTTTGAAATACTTAAGAAAATCAAATATTATTTTCAATTAAACTTACGTACTTTTACTATATGGGGATCGAAAATATGGAAACTCGGTTGTACATATGCAGTTCTTCTGGCAAGTTCGGAGAGATTATCATCTCAGCCTCCAAAGCTTATCATGTTTGGTTAAAGTGCACGATATAATTAATTTACGATATAAAATTGTTCAACTTAAAAGTTAATCCGGATTAACTGACAAGAACTCAAGTGGTTTTGAAGTATAACTTTTTCTTAATTATCCGAAAATTTGCATGTATGAGTAAAGGTTGTTGGGAAACGGGAAGCAATAGATCACGTGGCAAGCCATGCGTGAGGACTTACAAAAAGTTTCTATGGATGTCTTCCATTCCAGGACATTGCACACACTTTTGTACTACAATAAATTACGTATTAATTAATAGAGAGGTGCCCTATTCTTGTGCAGAGAGAAAAATATCATCCTCATCAAAAATCTCAACCCTAGCCTCACATCTCTCTCTCTTAAATTTTTTTAAAAAAATACATGGTAATTCAGGGAAAATTTCATAAATGACACCTGAAGTTTTTCAATTTTATGCAATTACCACCTTAAATAGTTTTTTTGTAACATCTAACCACCCAAAATTTACAGAGGGTTGCAGTTCGGCACCCAACCTTCATGAGTGCCCTTTTTCATGGGCATAAGGACAGACCTAAGTGATGACTAACCCTAGGCTACAGCCCAGGTGAATTTATTATCATTATTTTTTTCTTATAGTTAGTATATAGTTTAAGGGTTTATTCCAATCCACCCATAAGGTAAATCTAACTCACCTTATTTTGAAGGCTTAATTATGTACATGCCCCCTGTGCTTTCCAATTTATCTCAGATTACCACCTGTGTTTGAAAACGTCTCAAAGTACCCCCCAACGTGCAAAAAACCGTCTTACGTTACACTTTCCGTCAGTTATTTTGAAGTTCCGTTACGAACGTTACTGTTCATCTTCCCCAAAATTCCAGAACAGTAGCCCCTCCCCTTTGTTACTGTTCATCGCTTATTTACCCTCCAAAACTCAGAAATTTCTCCTAACCAACACAACTAGCAGCAAGAACAACTCGAGAGGTTGAAAAATCATACCTGGATCGAAGAAAATGGTGCTCGGAATCGCCCGAACGAGCAATGGAGATTTTGGGTAAAAACTCGCCAATTTCTTGCTTTTTTCGGTGATCCAGATGACGGTTGGCAGCGGCTGAGATGTGAGGGTGGTAGAGGACAACGTGCTGGTTCTTTTGATATCCATGTCGTCGCTTGGGGTGGCCGGAGGAGGCGATGGCAGCCCAAAAACTGGTCAGATGAACAGTAACAAATGGGAGGAGCTGCTGTTCTGGAATTTTGGGGGAGATGAACAGTAACGTTCGTAACGGAACTTCAAAAAAACTGACGGAAAGGGTAACGTGAGATGGTTTTTTGCACGTTGGGGGGTACTTTGAGACGTTTTCAAACACAGGTGGTAATCTGAGATAAGTTGGAAAGCACAGGGGGCATGTACATAATTAAGCCTATTTTGAAATCCTGAGTACGTCTCGTCATAAAACAATTTAATCCATCAACATGCATACCTATCGAGAAAGGTATTTATGAGATGCTTTTCCCACCTTCCTCCTAAAAAAGAAGAGTAAGTCATTTTCAGTTCTTGTCACATATTATTTGGCGGAAAGGAGATAGATGTGCTCAATTACAAAACGGGGTGAAGTTTGGATAATTGATTGTAAAAGGTTTTTAGTTCATGTGGTAATTGCACAAAACTGAAAAAGTTCAGGTGTCAGTACTGATTTCCCTAAAAATTAAGTCAAGATTACAGAATTCATTTCTGTCCATGGTAAAAATGCATATATATGGATAACATTGTAAAACTCAAAAGAATTTATTTAAAAAAATCATGGACAACATTTGGTCAACTTTCTAATATTAGTCAATGGTACTTTTCCCCCATATTTAATGGGCACCTCTCCTCCACTATTTGAGCTATAACCATGGCTTCCCATAAAATAGTTGGTCCTGCACTAATCTCCATCTCAAAAAAGTTCATGGGTGTTCTAAATCAAGAAGCTTTAATTTTGGGTTTAGAGAAGTGAGGTTGAGGCCTTATCCCCAATGTAGGGCATTTTAGATTAGTGATTTCTGAATAATCACTTAAAATCTGCTTTTGAGGAAACCTCTGCTTCAAGTCTGGTTGATTGGATTGTTATTACCAGCTTTTTTGTGCATACCATTAGAATTTACAAATTAGTTTAGATTTCCAAACTAGCGCTCGTGATTACAATCAGTTATGGGAACCTTGTTCCTGGACCATATCAAAAACAAGGCATCAAATTTTCTACTAGAGAAATACAAAACTGCTAGGCTGACTTTTACTGATGTTACTCAAGTTGAACTGTAAGCCTTTTCTCTTCATACCTTCTTATGCATGCATGCATGCATGTATGTATGTATATATGTAGAGAGAGAGAGAGAGAGAGAGAGAGAGAGAGAGAGAGAGAGAGAGAGAGAGAGATTTGATGATATTCAACTCTGATGTCTCTACTTTTGTCATGAAGGTTGGCTGAGGAAGCAACAAATGGTGATCCATGTAGCCCTGATGCGAAAACAATGACTCAAATAGCTGCTGCCTCCTTTGAGATGGATGACTATTGGAGAGTTGTTGATATCCTTCACCGAAGGTAATATTTTCTTTTCTCTTTTTTTTTCTTTCAACTTTTTATACCGTCCGAAAGATAAATTGCAGATTGCTCTATGAAAGGTTAATACATTCACAAAATTAATATAGGTTATATAACATAGATTGGAAAGAATGGAGGCAATCCTACAAAGCATTGGTACTTCTAGAGTTCTTACTAACACATGGTCCTGAAGAGTTTGCTGACGAATTTCAATGCGATATCGATGTCATCCAAGAGCTGGGAACATTTAAATACATAGATAAGACAGGGTAATTTCTAGAATTATAGTCTATTTATTTCTCTATCCATTCCATGTACTAAAAATTTTATTTTTTATTACGCTTTGATTTTATTTTTATTTTTATTATGAAAGATTCAATTGGGGTGTTTGCATGCAAAAGAAATCAGACCAAATCCAAAACCTTCTAGGAGGAGGACAACCACTCAGAGAAGCACGTTTGAAAGCTCTCAGAATAACAAATGAAATCCAAGGGTTTGGAAGCGCAACGCCTTCTCCTTCATCCTTAACTCCTTCCTCTTCATCATCTTCCGAAGCATCAAGAGCATCGTTTGCCTCATTTTCTACCACAAGTTCTGTATGGAATGACATGAATGAGCTTAGCAAGGGTTACCAAGAACCATCACCCACAAAGTTAGAAGCCATGGAGAGCTATTCACCGGGTGGAATACATAACGAATACAATAACAAGACTTGCAATTTCCTCGCAAGTACAAGTGAAAATAGTGAAGAACAGCTTTGGGGTTGCCCTCCAATCCAAGAAAAAGGCTCGTTGCTCGAATCTGAGGACGAAGAGGATGCAGACGCAGATGATTATGATGATTTAGAGTATTTTGAGAAGGCACCAGATGGAAATTTTATAAGTGGGATGTTCTCAAAGTTGGTTAACATTAGTCCTCCAAGAGCTCATGGTAGGAAAGTTGGGTTTAGGAGTGTTTCTGATGTGGGAAGGGAGGGCAAGAAAAGGTTTGATCGCCAATATTCACTTTGGTATTGAAGAAACATGGAAGGGAAGTTATAATTTGTGTAAAGTGTAATTAAATTTTTGGATAAATAAGTGTTACCCATATTTCCCTCCATCATTTTGTAATTTATATTTTATCATCTCTCAGTCAATTATTATTTTTATTTAAAAATACATTCTCTCCTATATTCTTCGATATTTCACACCTAAATTAATGTTATCTTCATTAGCCAATAAAATGTGCACAATATTATAGTGACGCAAAAGATTAAAAATTGTGGTTATTTTATTCTTTTGGAATTATTTGATATGACCTAAAACTAGTCACACTTTGTGTATTTTTTCTTCTTGTTGTTTTCTTGTCAATAACAAGCGGCTCTGCGCCACATCCACCTTCATTCTTTCGGATAGGTGGTATGGGCCTGTAGATTCTGTCTTAATTTTGTTGGAGGAGATGAGATAAGCCAAGACTTCTTTGTCTTTGCTGAGAGGACTGCAGTCAAAATAAAAAATATATGACCCAACAAGTTACATGAATTTTGTAGATAAACTACCACTAACTTGTTTGAACAAATATAGAAAAAGACATCCACACCTTAAACATGAAAGATAAGCCATTACTAATGAAGTTTAGCCAAGTAAAAAAGAGCATTGACTCAAAGGAGGCCTTGGACACAAGCAGACAAGACGGCCGTTTAGGGTCCCCAATTAATACCCTATATATACATACCTATATTATTTAGAAATATTATATTATATAAATATTATGTTAGGCCCAAATCAATTATTGTAAATATATATATAATTAAAAAAAAAACCTTACCTAATCATTTAATTCAAAATTGGAAAAAAAGGAAACTCAATAAAGGCCCATTCATTTAAAAAGGAAAAAGGAAAAAGAAAAGAAAAACTTGCCCAATGATTCAATTCAAAACTAAAAAAAGGATACTCAATAAAGACCTAATTATTTTTTAAACTTAGTTTAAATCAATTAACCTAGTTGAATCAATTAGGAAATTAAAAAATACATGGTAGAAAAACTTGATTATGTAAAGTTAATTGATAATTTTGAACCGAAAAATGCAAGAGGAGTGATATTGAAGTGATGTTTTGATGCATTTGATAAATTTGTTGTGTAAATTACATATTAATCGTTCATTTTATGTTACAATTGTGAATTTGAGTTCATAAAATATTTTTTTAAGCTTATTGAAAAAAAAAATTTCATATAAATATACATATATATAGAGTAGAATGGCTCATTTAAGATGTTCACCTAAGGTCTCCAAAACATAGGACTACCGCTAATTGACTTGTGAACCAATAATCTTTAGTTCGAATCTCCATGACACCTTAATAGTGTATGTGAGAAATCTTCATTCTTTTGTAGTTTAAATTAGCGCTTCTATTAAAAACAAACAAACAAAAGATAGGCCATTAAGTAATGAGATTAAGAGGCTGAAATGCAACTTTTTTTTTTTTTTGTTTTGTTGGTGAGAGATAATAATATCTGATATTGGCATGAAGCAAAACAGAACAATAATCCAGTCCCCAAGAACATGTGTTGGCTTGGACGCATTCAAAAACGTTGTCTTCATCATGTGATGTTACGTACGAATTTGAGGTTGGATTTCTTACCAGCCTTTTTTTTTCTTTTTTTTTAGGTATGTACAGCAATTGGGTGAAGGGTAAGACAGAGAATCTAGAAAGATGTGGATTTTAATATATTGGAATTAATATAAAGGTCAGACCTACTACATGCTTAATTTCTTATGTTTTGGGTTGGAGAGCACACACATCACCTACATAATACATTGCATCTTTACAATTAATTTAATTTATATACTCACCGCTAATTATACTATTGTTGTTGATTAGATTGGCATATTTCTTTTGGTCCTATTACAAAAGGTAGATGAACGAAAAATAGAAAATAAAAAAGTTAGACGGGTGTTACCACCATACAAATCAAATTTTACAAACTACCTAACGTCAGAGGAAGGAATTTAAACCAAATACATAGATGAGAATTATTCTGGCCTCTTGGCTAGAAGGTCAACAACTTGATTAGCTTCTTTGTAAATATGTTGAAGTTCTATATGATCAAAATGTAGGAATAAATTCCAGATATCTTGAACAGTTGTTCGCATGGACCAAGAAACCGAAACCTTCTTTGTAATGATTTGAATTAAAATTTTGGAAGCACCTTCAATTTCCAAATTTCTAAGATGAGATTATGAAGCCCAAGTTAATGCATGTTGCAAGACTACTAAAGCTTCCGATTGTAGAATAGAAGAAGAAAGACAATTACAGAGAGCATAACCATCAAAGTTCCATGCATACAAACTCAACATTTAAATAAAATAATTGTTCTAGTTGAAACATTCATCTAATACTAATAGTGGCTTCTCGTCTATCCTTTACCCAATCATTGATTTGGTAGACTTTTTCCCCATCCATGCCGAAGATATCTTCCTCATGAGTCATGATTAACTAGTTCCATGATCATACAAAGCAGTAGACATCGGGTTTTAATAAGATTACTAACGTGTCAATGCTGTATTGGCTTATTCTACAATTCAGCTTCTCAAATCTCATCATCTCTCACTTGAAGAAAGAGACAGAATGTTGATGTGGTGGGGTTACCTCCTTTTTCACATAGATTAATTATTTATAATATTAAGAAATAATTAGTAGATTTAAGTAAAGCGTATTGGTCAGGATAGTGTGTCTGCGTTACGGTTTTTGAATTAATTCTGAGTTTGAACTCTATTAGCATCTGTTAGTACACAATTAAAGTATATTATGGCTAATTTTTGTGACACCTTCGAAGTATTTTTGAAGTGTAATGTGGTCAAAGTATATTCTAAGATAGATTTCTCATTCATTTGCTTACCAAAAATTTAATTTAAGCATTTAACACTCCTTTTGGTGGAAATTAAACGCCAACCACTTGCCAAAAGACAGCTTAGTTGGGGGGAGAGGGGGGGACTCGGGAGGCCTCAACGGTCCCATTGAAAGGGACACGGGCACTTCGGTAATTTCAAACCAGAAATCTGGGTCCCAGTTACCTACTGTATCCTTATATATAATATGATATTTTATTCCTTTCGTCTCAGCAACTCTCGACAACTTTTTATGATTTTCCAAATTTACCCCTACCTTCTCTAATATTTGCACCATGCTTAACTGACTCAACTTTACTATTTTATTTTTCTAAGCGCAGAAATTTTCAGTCTCTGCTTTGAGTTGGTATCCAAAGACAGCATACTCCTTGGATCCCTTCTCTCTTTCTCTCTCTTGTTTCAGTCTCTGTCTAAAGGCTCACTTTTTTGAGCTCAGACAAGCCTTTTCTCTTCTGGGTTTATGCTGAAATTTTCTTATCTTTTGCTCTGAGCCCATATTTTCATAAATTTGCTTCACATTTCCACACTCTTTCCCAATGAGTTTCTGATCCCACTTTTCCTATATCGATTCTAAAAGCCTGCTCTTGAGCCTCCCCAAACGATTTCCCTGCAAAAATGAAGTCTTCAACTCGGCTTGACTCAGCTCTGTTCCAACTCACTCCCACTCGGACCAGGTAATCCTCTTCATTTAATCAAATGCTTTTCAGTGCTTATTGTTTGACAATAAAGATTGGATTTGACTTTTTACAGTCTTAAAGAATTGGGTTATGAGTATGAACTAAGTGGAAATGTATTATTGTTGCTTTCGTGATCTGACAGAGTTGGTGTTTTGGGATTGAGTCTTTTGGTGTTTTATTGGATATTTATGTGTCTGTGAGTATCTTGGTAGAAGTTTTGTCTCACTGTGTCAGTGCATGTGTAAGAGCGTTTGATTATTTGTTACTCCATCTTATATGGGATGCTTTCTTTTTGTTTAGTTATGCACCTATTGTTTTTAAGGTTGTCAAGCATAGTCTTCAATAGTTCGAATTCAGCTTGAAGTACATTTCGTGGAAGGTTACAGATTTATTGATTGACAAGCCATATTTTTATTCGAAACAGAAAAAAGAAAGATTTTGATGAAAATGGACTATTTGTTCTTTTCTTGGTTGTTATGTTTTGAGTTTATCGTGTGAAAATATAATTGCAGAAGTTGCAATCACAGCACAGTGTTATTCAGTTTGATCTTTTCCCCCCCTTTCTCTCCATCTTGATAGGTATGATCTGGTTATATCTGCAAATGGAAAGACGGAGAAAATAGCTTCTGGTTTGTTGAATCCGTTTCTTTCCCACTTGAAGACTGCGCAAGAACAGATGGCCAAGGGTGGCTATTCAATCATTCTTGAGCCGGAGTCTGGCAGTGATGCAACATGGTTCACAAAGAGTACAGTGGAAAGGTCTGTAATGGAATTCAATACCCCTCTCTTATTTGGAGTATTTGCAACATGTTTGAAAAGTGCATATGTCTGATCCTCTTACACCTACTAGAAATCGTAGAGTAAACATGACCATTGCATACAAGGCTTGCGTGATTGATCATTTGGAATCACTTCTCATTTTAAAGTTTAAACACAGCTGATCTTTTATTTATTTATATTTAAATTTTTTAAATTTATCTTCAAGCATAAGAAAAGTGCTTACTAGGCCTTATAGGCTCACCATTTCATCATTCTAAGCTGTGACTGTTGCGAGTGCTTTGACATGACAATCTTGTGCTACAGTGATAACTTCCTCCCGGAAAATCATCATACTGGACTAATATGTTAGGTGACTGTTAGGTTTGTTCGCTTTGTGAGCACCCCAGAGGTCTTGGAACGGGTTTACACTTTAGAGTCTGAGATTTTACAGATTGAAGAGGCAATTGCGATTCAAGGAAATCATGATATGGGACTTAATCCTGTAAGTAAAATCTCTTGGTGTTCAATGATCTGCGTGTCATATTGTCATAGAAAAGTCAGTCTCAGTTTCTTTGTGACAGGTAGAGGAAAATCATGGAAAACCTGTAGACAGCATTGAAGGTAATGTTGAAAAGACGACTATACAATATGTCGCATAATGATTTTCGTATTAGTAAAGTAAGAGATGTTT